GTAGTGTTTTATTTTCATTTGCTTACATTAATTTATTCCTCATTTAATTATTTTATTTAATCATGAGTTTATCAGTCATTTATATAATTAACGTTACATAATTTTATTGATTATTAGTTAATGATTTGATTATTATTATTTATTTTATAATGTTTTTATATTTTATTATTACTACTTGTTGCAGGACGATGGCAGGGGGTCCATTGGTGACTTCCAAAAGTCAAATAAATGTAATTGAAGTATTAGAATTACCATATTTAATCCAATACTTACAGAATATAAAAAATTGTAGTTAATAGTTACATTAAAAAAAAAAAACATGCAAATGAAAAGCCTATAACTTTTCATTTGTTTTTGTTTTTTTCACAGAATTGTGTGTTTACATTAGATTAACAACATAGCAATAGTGTCAGATGCAGAAGATTGATTTTATAGCACCAGGTTAAACTTTCTGACACCGTTATGGCAATTAAATATTAAATATAGGCCGCAACTGAACATTGAGAATGATCTCTGATTGGCGAACTAAATCAAGAATAGACTTGTGCTGAAAGCATTGTGCCCACCTGTCTCTTTAGGTGAGGTTATTATTAAATTAAACTAATCAATAAATGACTCTAAAACATTATATGATTGTTGTATTGTCAATATGCTCATGTTTATATAAGCCTATTGTTGTGTGCACAACGTTTGTATATTTATAACCGCGTATATACAGTTGAAGTCAGAATTATTAGCCCCTCCTTTGATTTTTTAAAAATATTTCCTAAATGATGTTTAACAGAGCAAGGAAATTTTCACAGTATGTCAGATAATATTTTTTCTTATGGAGAAAGTCTTATTTGTTTTATTTCGGCAAGAATGAAAACATTTTAAGGTCAAAATTATTAGCCCCTTTAAGCGATATGTTTTTTCCATAGTCCACAGAACAAACCATCATTATACAATAACTTGCCTAATTAACCTAGTTGAGCATTCAAATGTCACTTTAAGCTGTATAGAAGTGTCTTAAAAAAATATCTAGTAAAATATTATTTACAGTCATTATGGCAAAGATAAAATAAATCAGCAATTAGAAATGAGTTATTAAAACTATTATGTGTAGAAATGTGTTAAACAAAATCTGCCCTCTGTTAAATTAGGGAAAAAATAAACAGGGGGTCTAACAATTCTGACTTCAACTGTATATATATATATGTATATATATATAGTCGCAAGCCATTGGCATTGTTATTTTGGGGGTCGTGGGCTAACATTTTGGCAGCCCCTGCTCTTGAGTATATCTGAATGCTGCAATCTAGAAAATCACTCTAGACTTCAAATAACTGACTAAGACTTCAAATAACTGCCTAAGATTTCTGAATAAGTCTTCAGAAATTGAACATGAATATAATCACATTTTCTGAATTTTGTAAGCATCAATTACTTAAATCTAATGTGAAAAGCTTATTATTTTTCCTTAAATAAAATTCATTATTAAATAAGGCAATAAATGTTTAATAACTCTTTTGAGTTTAGTATGAGTTGTTTTTCTGGTTCTGATTCAAGTTTTTTCAATTCATTCATTCAGAGAGCTATACTTACATTTTAGTTTTTAAGACATGTTGAAATGCTTCTTTAAAAAGTGTGTAAATACAACAGGAATGTAATGAAATGTAAAGTTCAGGCACATTTAAGGACAGTAACCTTCTTGTTTAGACACAGTGGCCAAATACTATTCATTGTTTTGAGTTAATTATGTAGGAAGGTCTACTACTACTATAACATCCGATAACAGAACTACATTCAAACAGATCAAATGTCCAGCATATAAAAGTAGTTGTGCAGTCCTCATCAAGGTTCACCAGAAGTTTCATAATACACACCGAAGGTACAACTAATGACTAACTGAATAATTCAATAGAATAAATCATTTGTTAATACTGTTATGAGTCTAATAGACTCCCTATTTATTGATGTATTCAATTTACCTCACACAAAAACATAATATAGAGAAGCATCTTAAATTAACAATGGCTCCCTAAATGAACAAATAAACAAAATCTAAAATTACTCCCATTAATACTTAACGAAGTCTGTCCATGCATTATGCATGACCATTTGCAATGTTAATGAAACTTATTTGCCTTTTATCTAATACATAATGGTAGTGATTTGATAGGATTATCTTAAGGTTTTTAAGACAGTAAGACGTCTTCGATTTATTCACTAAGCTCGTGCTCAAATAGTATTTTGTTATCCTCTGGTGGGTTTAAAACAAGTGTCCTCCCATAAATGGTACACAGCGTAACCCCAAACAGAGCAGCGTGGGCCGTGCAATAAGTGAATGACACGCATCTTAGCTGCCAAGTTTGTGGTTGCTGGAAAAGAATCCAGGACATCAGACACCCCTAGAGCTGAGAGCTGATTTCAGAATACTGTACAGCGCATGGAAATGTGTGGGACACCTGACACATTGATCAAGATAAAAGCGGCATGATTTGACAATGAGGAAATAATGAAATGGTGACAACATCTCCATCTGTCAACACAGTCAGTCAGCTCAAAAGAGATTTAGTTCTCAGATCTATGGAGGTTTTGGTTAAAGGTTTCAGTAAAAGCTGAAATATGCAAGCAAATGATTTTAGAACTAGTTTTGCTTTTGTGATGACTTTTACACAGCTGTAAAGCAGCATGTTTGTCTTTTTATATAAGAGATATTGAGATTGGTTTGGCTTTAACTTATTTTTGTGAATCGTTTTGATAGTGTTTCAGCTGTTTTTCTTAAGTAAATGCTGTTTGTTTGGTCATTTGTTATGTAATGCATTGACATTCATGCATTTTTAAGTGCAGCACAGATGCCTAAACACTTTCCACTGTAAATAAGAGCCACGTGGTCTTCTTTTGTGTGTTATGTTTCAAGTCAATTTGTCAAATGTTAATACATTTTTTTCATTTAGGATCACAACAATGCATACAAAGCCAATGCTTCAAAATAGATGTCTTAAATTTCTATTACATCCATGATAAAATGTACAAAAGCATGCACATCACTTTTAACTGGGTGCTCAGCCAAAACGCAAAAAGTGCAAATTATATATTCAAAAAGCTCCAAAAATGCTAATTTATTAAATTAAAAAGGCTGACACAAAGCGTGTAATGTTTCGAGCACACGGCTCTTCATTAGACAGTGTTCATCACAGTAAGGTGCTCCTTTTTGTACACTTCCGGATCACATGATCTCCTATTATCTCACAACAAGAAAAAACAGGGAAAAAATAAAAATAAATAAAATCGACAAAATATAGCCAAAAAATCTTTACCCAAACACCTAATTTAACACTAAAGAATTATTAAAGAAAAGGATGAATGTCAATTTTGTTGTTTATGTTGTTATATTATTTTTTTCTATTTCCTTGTTATATTCTGTTTTCTATAATTTGTGATGCAATATTATGGTTTGTTACTATATTTTCGCTTTGAATGTCTAAGGGGTGTCCACACTCGGTCCTGGAGGGCCAGTGTCCTGGAGAGTTTAGCTCCAACCCTAATCAAACACACCTGAACAAGCTAATCAAGCTCTTACTAAGTATACTAGAAACTTCCAGGCAGGTGTGTTGAATCAAGTTGAGCTAAAGTCAGCAGGACACCAGCCCTCCAGGACCGACTTCGGACACCCCTGATCCAAGTTGTATAATTTTTAAATGTGTATTTTTTTTTTTTTCTTGTGAGATAATAGGAGATCATGTGATCCGAAAATGTACAAAACGCAGCACCTTACTGTGATGAACACTGTCTGATGAAGAGCTGTGTGCTTGAAACGTTACATGCTTTGTGTCAGCCTTTTTAATATTGTCAATTGTTTCAATAAATGTAAAAATATGACTTATGTTTTAAAGCAGTTGCATACAAAAGAAATAGTATTATATAAACATAAACATTATTATTATTACAGTATTTTCATTGACACTTGTGTGGCATTTTGGCATAACATTAATCTTAACTTGATAGTGCCATGCTGAATTTTAGAAGAGCACACAGAATAAGGTTAAATTGATAAGTTGTTTTACATACATACATACATACATACATACATACATACATACATATATACATATATATATATACAACAATTTGTTTTCCTGAAAATAACAAAAATGTTATCTGACAACCAGTGTTGGGGGTAATGCATAACAAGTAACGCATGTTACGTAATAAAATTACTTTTCTAAGTAACGAGTAAAGTAATACATTGTTTTCTAAAATTAAGTAATAATATTTTAGTTATTATTTAGTTCAGTTTATTAGCTTATTAAAATAATAGCTGAATTAAAATGAACACAGTCACGTTGAATCCCACACTCAATAAGAGAATACATGAACAGCCAGAAACTAAGATGGCAGAGCCTTACATGTCTGCGATGGAAGTATTCTCATTATTCTGAGATCATCCAAAAGGAAAAGGGGATTGTCTCAATGAACAGTGATTTTACTTCACTAATAAGACAAAACGTACAAAAGTAGTGAACACATTGCTTTACACTTTCATTAATCTATATGTAATGCATGTACAGCTTGAGGCTCAGAAGATAAGATCATCCTACATTATTATTTTTATGAGTTTTTTTTTAAGTAGATTGAGGTTATACAGTGTGTTGTTAATTGCAGAGGTCTTATTTTTTAAAAACACTTCTGACAACTGGCTGACAAAATGTTTACAATGTAATATGAATAAAAAGTACTTTATATTAAAATATGTTTTATAATTATTTTATTTGAACTATATGCCAAAAATATGAAAATGAAAACTAAAATATCTGATTCAAACGACGAATAGTTATTTAATGATAATAATGAACAAATGCTCACTTTAGCTGCTGTAGTTTAATGTCTGCTTGCACCTGGCACATAAAACAGCAGTCAAGAAAATCTAAAACTAAAAAAAAATCATATATATATATATATATGTGTATATATATATATATATATATATATATATATATATATATATATATATATATATATAAAAGACCTTAAGTCAATTTAAGGAACAAATCAAGAGCCTCGTAGCTTGACCCTGCATTTGGCTTGTGTGTAACAAGAGCAGTCATTTCTGTTCCGCAGTGACAGAGATAAGACTTATCATTCTAGGGTTACATAGCCAAGAAGATCTGGAGCTTCACTGACAAATGCTTGACATGCTGTAGGCTTGCCCGAAGGATTTACACCATAATACAGCATCAGCCAGGCATATGCTCATGTAAATAAGTGCTAAATGTTGTGATTGTGACAAACACACTGAAATCTATGTGTGATTTTTATCTCTTCTTCGAATTTTTCTGTGGCTGCTGCGGGTGACCTGGAAGATGTCCAGATGATGTGTGGCCACGGGACGCAGGGGGTCTGGATGTGTGGGATGAGGAAACGTGAGATTCAGGATTCTCTTCATTCACTCCTGAGAAAGAGTAGACACAAAGAGACCTTTAACTTATATAAAGAAACAGGGGCATGTTGATTTAAGACTGTGGCCCGTTGTCTAAGCAAAGCACATTGACACTTCAACATTAACGGAAAGTTTCCCTGCATCGGTTCCAAGCTGCTGTCTAGTGCATTGACTGATGGGAGCTGTGACCCATCCTGTGTGCTCTCACCCAAATCTGAGATGCTGTTTCTGCGTTGCTCTCCAGCTTTTCTTGCCTGCTCCAAGTCACTGGCTGCTTTTAAGGCTGCAAGTTTGTTCTTTTTCTTGTTTTCCTCATTTTGCTGTCAATACAAAATTGGATATATGACTAAACATGACCTGTTGATTTTTTTAACAGTAGCAAAGAGATCAAAGTTCAGCGCTGCAATTTATTTATTTATATATTAGTGCTGGGTCAAGATTAATTAGTTTGTTTTGTCATAATATGTGTGTGTGTGTGTGTGTGTGTGTGTGTGTGTGTGTGTGTGTGTGTGTGTGTGTGTGTGTGTGTGTGTGTGTGTGTGTGTGTGTGTGTGTGTGTGTGTGTGTGTGTGTTTTTGTGTGTTTTTGTGTGTGTGTGTGTGTGTGTGTGTGTTTTAAATATTTTGAGGTCAGAATTACAAGTCCCCCTGTTTATTTTTCCCTTATTTCTGTTTAACGGAGAGAAGATTTTTTCAACATATTTTTAAACATGATAGTTTTAATAACCGATTTATTTTTTTTTTTTTTGCCATGATGACAGTACATAATATTTTACTAGATTCCATAGGCCTGTGACCATCAACAATCAAACCATCACACAGGTCACTTCATATAAATATCTTGATGTCTTCTTTGATAATTCACTGAAATGGAATACACATGTAAACAACCTCTGCACTAAGCATTAGCAACATCTGTATTTCTTACGACGTCTGAGAATTCATGGAGTAGATCAAAAATGTATGATCATATTTTAGCAGCCTGTTTTTGAGAGCTTAATAAGACGTTTGGCAACTTGTCTGTGCAGCTGAGAATCAAAGTAGTCAGTTTGATTCACACTGCTTGGAAAATTATTGGTGTATCAGAACAGATGTCACTACAGCATATTTATCAACATGACACATTAAAACATGCTAAACAAATCTATATGGACTTATCACATGTTCTGCATAAAGAGTATTAGTTGTTACATTCGGGGAAAAGGTTCAAAGTACCTTGCTGTGGAATAAACAGATATAAAAGCTCTTTGTATCCTGTGAGTGTAAAGCTATTAAATAGTGGTAGCTTAGACTGAGAGTATCTCTGTTTTTCTTTATTTATGTGTATGTATGGAGGTGGGTATCCAACTTTTTGGGGGTGGGGGTAAAGATTTATTTATTTATATACTTATCTGTTTTTTGTAAGTTTGTATTAGTTTTCTATTTACAGTTGCAGTCAGAATGATTAGCCCCCCTGTATTATTAGCCCCCCTGTTTATTTTTTCCCCAATTTCTGTTTAACGGAGAGAAGATTTTTTTCAACACATTTCTAAACTTAATACTTTTAATAACTCATCTCAAATAACTGATTTATTTTATCTTTGCCATGATTACAGTAAATAATATACTAGGTTTATTAGGTTAACTAGGCAGGTTAGGGTAAAACAATGGTTTGTTCTGTAGCCTTACTAGCCGATCAAAGCATTTATTGCTTAAAGGGGCTAATATATTTGACCTTAAAATGGTTTTTAAAAAAATTTAAAACTGCTTTTATTCTAGCCAACATAAAACAAATAAGACCTTCTCCAGAAGAAAAAATATTATCAGACATACTGTGAAAATTTCCTTGCTCTGTTAAACATCATTTGGGAAATATTCATTCATTCATTTTCTTTTCGGCTCAGTCCCTTAATAATGGGTATAAGTGTATGTCCTTGGAATGTGGCGGAAACCGGAGCACCAGTAGAAAAAACACGCCAACACTGGGAGAACATGCAAACTCCAAAAAGAAATGGCAACTGATCCAGTGACCTTCTTGTTGTGAGGCGATCGAGCTACCCACTGCGCCACCATGATGCCCAATTGGGAAATAATTAAAAGAGAAAATTCAAAGGGAGGCTAATAATTCTGACTTCAACTGTATGTGTGATACAGAAACATACATATAAATAAAGCAATACAAAAGATTTTTACATAGATATTTAAATTGATATATAACTTGTATCCTATACATATTTCCATATATTTTATATCTGAATATAAAACAGTTCTCAAATATATGCATGCATGTGTATTTATCTATACAAAATGAATTAACACAGCACACACACACATATGTTATGTCAAAACAAACTTTTACTTTGGATGCGATTAATCATGATTGATTTTTTCCCAGCACTTACATAAATCTGTATTTAGATCAGAGAGGCCCAAAGTAGGGCCCACGGGCCAAAGTTGGCCCATTGTAACCTTTGACTTGGCCCACCATTCCATTTGAAAACAGAGTGAGAAGGATGGAGAGGGATGGGGCCAACGCCTTTAAAAGAGACCATCATTTCTAATTTGACGTAACCTCTTTTTGTATGTTTGTTTGTTTTATTACTTAACTACAATAAAAGCAAACTGAAATAAAATGTTTTAATTAAATTATGTATTTATATATTTATTTTTAAAAATGTAAATAATGTCACTCGACTGATAGAGGACTATGCAGAAGACATCAGTGGGCAAACCAAGACAAAATAGTGTAACTCCATTCTGTCATAAATTAGATTGTTTTTGTTTTTACAGCAATAAGTTCATTATATAATGTAAAAAATGTGCTGTATTGGTTAATATAAAGCAACGTTTTCAAGTTATTTTTAAATGTTATTTAATAAATTAGGAAATTACAGAGGAGAACTATAGTTAAATTCGGCCCACCACCCTCAATCAAGTTTGGTTTCAGGCTCTTCATAATAAAAAGTTTGGGCACCCCTGATTTAGATAATAAATTATAATAAATATCGTTCAACAAAAAATGTGTTTGAGATCAGAATTTGCATCTTAATGTTAGTGCTTCCACCTAGTGGTGCGTTTACAAAAGTTCATCTTCTAATATTTTCCCGTTTGAAATCTAAGGTTTGAACTTACTGCTTGAAGTTTCTTTTTCAGCTCCATGTTTACTCTTTTATACGTTTTCGAAGTGGACTGCAGGTAATATATTGCGAGACTAAAATGAGAGAAAAAAGTACATATTCAATGGCACATTTTTACAGAAGTATACGGGTGTAATTATTTCACTTACACCAAAAGAAGAAGGAACGGCAGCACCAGACCGGGGTTTGAGGCATAACTGAACACTTTACTGAACCAGGCAGGGAAATCTGTCTCCAGAGTCTCCTGGATCACATCAAACATGCGGGGTTTCCCACTGCAAGAACATACAAAATCAGTTTGCCCAAAAAACCTTTAAAGAACAACTAACCCTAATCCATTTGAATTATGTAAATGGACACCATTTTATACTATTATTGTTATTATTATTATTAAGGCACTTCTAATAACGCTAATAATAAATAATTATTACATTAACCTCTTCTTTTAGCTAATTAATTGAATACAAAAATCTAATTTTGCCATTGATTTTCATAGCCTACCCCAAAAAAGTAAACAAAAAATCAATTGAAAGATTTAAGGGAATGAAATATATATATATATATATATATATATATATATATATATATATATATATATATATATATATATATATATATATATATATATATATATATAATCTACTAAATGATTTAGTGATGGTTTTATGTGTTTTAAATGAGCGAAAACTGAATAGCTTAAAATGAAAGGGAATTTTTTGTAATCCAGTCTAAATCCAAAGCACAAAATCCTAAATTTAGCAAGGGGGAAAACTATCATTCATCCATTCTCCTTCAGCTTAGTCCCTTTATTAATGTGGGGTGACCAAAACGAAATGAACCGCCAACTTATAGCATCTTTTTTAAACAGCGGATGCTCTTCCAGCTGCTACCCAGCACTGGGAAACACTCACATGCACACATATAGCACGTCTTTGGGCTAGGTGGGAATTCGGGGCACCCGGAGGAAACCCATGCAAACATGGGGAGAACGTGCAAACTTCACACAGAAATGCAAACTGAGCCAGCTAGGAACCAGCAACTTTCTTGCTATGAGACAACGGCGCTAACCACTGAGCCACCATGACACCCGAAAAAAGATCATTTAAAATGAAAATCTTTCTCTTTTGTAATAACTCATTTCAAACTATTACTAAAACCTAAAATTACTTAAAACAAAAAAAAAAAACACTTCTCAGAAGAGCATAGATCAACGTCAAAAATGTTCACTTCTGCTGCTGTTTATAACTAGCATGAAAACCAACAATCATGCAAGTCTATAAAATCTATCTTCAATCTATCTAACCTTAAATATATATATATATATATATATATATATATATATATATATATATATATATATATATATATATATATATATATATATATACATACATATAAAGCATGAGTTAACGCGACAAATATGTAACATACCCATTATAATTATTTCTTTCTTTATATTTAAATATTTTTTCCTGTTCTCCATGCTACACATGTATTTGTAAATCATAAAATAATTTTAAAAACTATATAATAATAATTAATATAAAAAACAATAGTTAATAGTTATATATATGTAATAGTTATATAATAATATTTATTATATAAAATAACTAACAATTATGAGCAGAAATAAGGATGTGAGAACCTCTAACACTTGCCCTCTACTGCACCCTAGTGTTAAGATTTACCGATTGCAAAACTTGGAATTGGAAACATCCCTCAACTTCTTTTTCATCACCTCTGTTACTCCATACTTTAAAATAATTGACATGTTTGAAATGACCAATATGTCAAACACTACTTTCCTAATGCATATAAACTAATTGATTTCAGAACCTGAAGGGCCCGCAGTCGAAGGAGGGAGGAATGGAGACAATGGTGTATATGGCTGGTAATGTAGAGAGAAAAAGAATGACCAGCAGCATGGCCATGTAGAAGTTATTGGAGCCTGAAGCTTTGAAGACGCGTTCCTGAGGCACATTACAGCACATCACTGCCCAACACTGCAGGTACATAGACACGTGAAGACGAAGAAGATTTAGTGCTGGAAGACATGGAGCGTAGAATGCACCCATCCTGAAACAAACACACAGATTAACAAAGATTTGATTATATGCTGGTTTTCATTTCTGAAAAAGGAGAAAGCAAATGCAACATAATATGGAGATAATTCTTACCAGATCATTCCCTGGTTAAAGATCAGCCCCAGAACATTCCCACTAACATCAAACTCTGAGTAGGATGGCTAATGAAGAAAGCAAATGTAATTATGGAAGTCGTGATGCATATGTTGCTATGTGTGGTGGACACTCACTCACAAAGCCATACTCCAGATCCCAGCACCAGCAGTTGTTCAGGAATCGCACCAGTACGGCACGCATAAAATCCCCAATCAGCAGAGTGATGTAAGTCGTCATTGTGTCAGAAATGATAAGACGAACAAACTCCTGTAGAAATAAGAGATGTTAATGTAAATGGATAGTTCACCCAAAAATTAAAAGGTACTCACCATTTACTCACCATCAAAACCTTGTGAATTTTTTTATTCTGTTGTTAAACACAAAAGAAGATATTTTGAAGATTGTTAGAATGCTTTTTTTACATCACATGAACAAAAAATACTATGAAAGTCAAAGGCAGTTTTGAAAACTGGTTATCTTCTTTTGTGTTCAACAGATGAAGAAAACTCAAACAGGTTTGGAACAATTGGAGGGTCAAAGGTTTTTATTTGTTTTAATTTTAAAATTTTATTTTTGCCTGTTTTCAAACTTGTATTATTTGGTAAAATGTAGACTCAACGCTTGATCAGTTTAAAAATGCTTTAAATTAGATTTGAATGTCCCTAAATTTGTGAATATAAACACAATCACTAATTTATTTTTAAAATAGCATGATTTTGCTAAACAAAAACAATTTGCTGTTCAATTTTGGGGAGAGTTTCTGAAACCTCTTTGTTCAGACATTATTTTTGCAATTACATTCAGTGACACTAGATGTGCAGTAAGGTCCCATGGCCAACCTAAAGGTTTACCCTTCAGAGTGACAGCTTCTAATGGATTTTTGCAAAGGGATAATCATTTCTGAATGAAACACAATTTGCGACACCAAACAACTTCCCTGCACAAAGGTTCATGGGGGCCCGAAGTGTCTATCAGTTGTGCCCTTAGAAATCTTTAATCCTCAGTTTTAAGTCATAATTGTTTTCACTCCTAATGCCGAGTTCAGACTGCATGATTTTAGCCCTGATTTTGACTTGCCAACAGGTTTTGAGAAATTGCCGACAAATGCCTGAAAATACAGGCTCATTCACAGTATGATCTATCAAGGACGTGATATGAGAGAATCACAGATGAGTCGTCGACACCCGTGAGATATATAGCCAGCGTAATATCTGGAGCTGTTGGCGATTCAAATCAGGCTGTGTGAAATCAGTTTTGACTGAAAATAACATCCGCGATCACCTACAGCAAATGAGAGAGCAGCATTCACTAGTGTGGGTGCCTGCAGGTCAGCGGGAGAATGGGAGAGAAGTTAAAAGCGCTCATTTTCAGTTTATTTGGACCCAAGAAATGGAGAAAAAACTTGTGTAAAAGTCAACGCGATCCGCTGAGGTTTAAACCGGGCATCAGAATGTGGAAGAAGGGCTATCTGAGTGACTTGGTGGGTTTGCTGGGGTCAAACAGACTGATCTGAGTATTTCAGAAACTGGTGGGATTCATACTGTACAACCATCTACAACGTTTTCAAAGCTAGTAATCATCGTCTGTTAACATACAACACATAAAACCTTGAAGCAGATGAGCTACAGCAGCAGAGAAGAGCACAGTGGTGACATCCTGTCAGATAAAAACAGCAAAATAGGACAATAATTCTCTTAAGCTCTCAAAAAATGGACAGGAAAAAGACTGTAAAAAATATCATCTGGTCTGATGAGTCTCAATTTCCAGCAGGATTCACATGAGGAAATGTAACTACTTTACGCACATATCAGAAAAGTGGCTAATTTGCACAAAATCATACAATTTTATTTGTATGAAAAAACATATACGTTTTTTAGAGAGGCACGCCCCCAAACCACTGGAGGATGAACATAGAGATCATAGAAAGTAACATGAATTAGTCACAAAAAATCAAAATATTTTAAAATTCACCAACATCTCTTTGAGTTATGCCTTGCCAAGTTTTGCTTTGTTGCTTGTTATTTGGTACTTTTCAAAGCTGCTTCGGGACATATTGTGTTCAAGTTTTTGAAAAGAGCAATACAATTAAATCTGAACTGAACTGAAGCACTCTTCTCAAGTACCTGTCCCACCATGGTCTCCCAGCAAGGCCCTCTGGGAACATCAGCAGGGTGCACAGTGAGCGGAGGAGCAGTCGAGTTGTCTGGCACAGTCCCATTGTACAAGTTGGCCTGCCAGATTGTCATATTCTTCTTCACAATCTCCTCTTCTGCCCTCTTGAAAATTGACAGTTAGGAGGATAAATCACCCTCATAAGAAGATGATTCATTTAACACAGATTCTGTAGGATCTAGTATTCTGTACAAAAGACAGACTGAAGATGAGACTGTGAGTGCTTTGTTAAATGAAGGTGTACCTTTAGTTGGATGGCATCCATGAGGGCGATGATAAATGTGTACAGGTTCCCCAAAAAAAGAGCAAAGATGCGTCCCAGCTGCCACTGGAGGGCAATGCGTGGGTGATAGTTCTCCAAAGTGCTGATCACATCGAACAGCATCGGGCAGAACATTCCCAACAGAGACATCACCATGTTGACCTGAGGGTTAATGCACTAGTTATTTCTTTGCCGTTGAAGCAGAGGATTACCATCGTGCTCTGCTTCATGGGTCTCACCTCATTCCTCTCCCACCAGCCGTAGTTCTCCAGGCCCTCCAGTGCAAACTTCTGAGACCTGCGTACTACAAAGTAGATCAAGTACCCGCTCCCTGCCAGACAGCAGAGCACCAGGAAGTTGGCCAGCACTCTGAGGAATCTTGTCAGGTGGATGTTGTCATCTTTTCTGCTCTCTTGCTCCTCCACAATAGCCTCCTGTTAAATTGCTGAATTTATTATGAAGCCAAGAGAGGCGAAATTAAAGTGGCTGCCTCAGTTCTTGTATTATCAACACAGGCTCAATGGGAAAATGTGCCATGGTGTACATTCATGGGAACCAAGAAATATGTGCTTGCGGTAACATATACCAGTATTTTATGTAAAAAAACAAACACCAAAGGGCAGTGACTGCTTACCTCCATATGGACACCTTTTCTGATGTGACTGGTTTGCTCAGTAGCTCATTGCGAATGGTGCTCGACTTGGGAGGCGGAAAAGTGCAGATCAGATGGATTGTTCCAGAAACCAGGAAAAAAGAAACCCAAAAACCCAGAAAACTCTTGGGTTTAGGGAAGGAGTGTTCTGGTCAGTTATGATTGAGAAGGATGTTAATATGTGCAGAAATATATACAGTGGCCTCTGGTGGATTTACGAGAAATGGCACATATAAAAAACATGCACCAGTAACATTTTTGAGACTGTCAAAAATGTACATGGCGCCCTCTATTGGACTTCTGAAAACAAAAACTGCAAGAAAAAGTGGTCCAGGGTAAAATATTTGTCAGTTCTCAAAAATGTACTCCTGGGCACATATTTCCAATAGAGCTATTTCTGCCAGTGCTTTTTTGATTGTATATATTTTTTAGAGCTTTATTTCAAATAATAAGACTTGTTCATTATTCGCCGAATGGACCTCTAGAAAGCATGAAGAAAATTAAGAAAACCAGACCTTAAAGCTGGTGGTGATAGAAGCAAACTTGTTGTCTGCTGTCTCAGGGTTTCCAATAAGGTAATCCCAGCTTGTGAATGTCTTCCAGCTGAAATTAAAGCTGGTATCATCTCCGCCACCTTCTTCATTTGCGTTGCGAGCCATGCTGTTGGGCAAGAATTTGCTTTTACATTCATGTACTAAGAGGTAAAAAGTATGCTTATGGACATATCTGGACATGAAAAGTAGAAACACTGAATCCATAAAACAACAGAAAAAAGTAGTGGCAATTCATTATCATAGTTTTGTACTGTAATTTACATACCTGACCTAGACAATATATTATTTTAATTAGGTTGCATAAAAAGTACCAAAAGCACCAAAAGTTGATGGACCAGACATCAAGGTTCCATAAACCAATCCAATAGTGTAAATACACCAAAAAAACACAAGCTTTACATGCTTAATGTTCAAATATACCCATACAACTGTTAATTAACAGATACATTTACAATGAAGGTTAAACATAGAGCAGACTGTCCTCACTCACGTCCTGATCACCACCATGTAGCTGTAGGCCACTGTGCCCACTCCAACCAGGAAGTAGGACAGTGGCATGCGAAACTTCAGCCACCCAATGGCCCGCTGGCTGTTATAGTAGCCATAGAAGAGGACAGAGTACTTAGCATAGCCCTATAAAAAAAAAAAAAAATAAAAAAAACAGACTTAGAGTATGATCCAAGATCTACTGTTTTATTTATTATGTGTAGTATCTATAATCTGCATGATTTTGTCATTTTAATAAAGTCTCTTATGCTTTTATGGCTACATTTTTTAATTCAAAAATAATACATTTTTATAAAAATCCTCAAATAACAGATAAATATTGTTATTATCAATGTTAAAATTCAGTATTTTTTGAGTAACTGTAATATTTGTATTTGTCTGGATTCTTTGATTAATTTAACTTTCAAAAGGATAGGATTTATTTATTTTTATTCATTTGTAACCGTTTTTCATGTAACATTTGATCAATTTAATCAATCCTTGCTAACTTTATAGTAATATACCATTTTTACAGTTTGAATTGTATCATAATATATAATCGATTTCTTTACCCCAAAATCCCATAAGACTGCAAAATTCATAGCACTGGCCTCTTCCTCTCTGGGCACTGTTTTCCTTGGTAAACTGCCATATGGTTTTCCCATAAGAGCCTAGACAGCAAATAAAAAAAAAAAAATAAAGACATCCAAGAAAGTTTGGTTGTATTATGCATATGGAAATAAATAAAGTGGTGTAAATTACTATTATTATTATTATTTTTTTTAATATTGTAGTAGTAGTAGTTGTTGTTGTTGTTGTTATTATTAATAATAATAATAAGAAGAAGAAGAAGAAGAATTTTTATTTATGATGCACTTTTCCTAAACTCCAAGCGCTACAAGAGACACAATAACAAAGAAAAATGCAGAGAATTACAAGCTTGCCTAAGATCCCAGTGACAAGACAGAAGTAGATAAACACCAAAATAATAAAACAATAAAAAAATAAATTAACAACATGCTACAAACTGCATAAAAGTGACAGTGATGATCACAAATTAAATGCTTTGCTAAAAAGATGTGTCTTAAGAAGCTTCTTAAAACAATTTAAAGAAACGGCATTCCTGATGATTATGGCTAATGTATTCCATAATTTAGGTGCACAGTAAGAAAAAACCCTACCTCCCATTTATCTACAGCACAGCGTTGATAGAGTCCACATGCAGAACGAAGACAGTGAGTAGGTGTAGAAAAACTCATCAGATCACAAATGTAATCTGGAGTTAACCCATGAATTGCTATTCATATATTATGTAATTTAAACCTTTGCAGAATCTGATATATTTCTCACCTCTGGAACCATGACCAGCCCAAATGTCAGTCCAAACAAAATCATATTGATGCCATACATCCACCTCAAGAATATGAAGTATGAAGCCACCGAAGAGCCAAAATGGCCTAAAAGAAGATTTTCAAAAATGTTAACGTAGAGTTTAAAAAAATAACACAGAAAGAAAAAGAAGGAAGCTAAAACTGAGAATTGTCATACTTTCGATTTCTTTTATCTTCATCTCCCACGGGATGCAGGCAGTCTTGAAGTTCTCAAAATCACGCTGAAACTTCATCCATTTCTTAGAGTACAAAAAGATAAATAATGATCCCTCTGAAGCTGTCAGACCAATTCATACTCGGATTCATACTCCTCACCTTCATCATCATGACCTTGTAGGCATAAAGTTTCCTGCCTTTGCCTTTCCCCAAAGCACCTTCATATTTCTCCACAAACTCCTGCGACTCCCTGAGACAGACAAAAAACTAATAATTACTACTTATAACACCTTCACAATCTTTAACTGAACATGAAAGAAGATATTTTGAAGAATGCTGGAAAACTATATGTTAGTCATTGGCTAACCATTATTCTTCCAAATATATTTATGTTCTTTAAACTACAAAACTCAAGCCAAATGTCAAATATTCCTGAATTCTCCCTGAATTTCAAGGACTAGAAAGCTGAATTTTCATGGCCTACTATAAGAAAGTTTTTACATCGCATCAGATTGGGACACAATGATAAAGACTGCATGTTAGTTAAATTGCCTAAGCCCTTTAACTCTATTGATTTGCCTTTACTGTAACAGTAGTCAGCTATATTAATTGTTTAAACAAACTATAGCAAAAGTTTGCTATATTTTCCATTTTCTATACTTGCTGATTATATTTGCTATATCTTCTATTTTGTTCCACCTAAAATATGCTATACAGCAAACATTATATAATGCAATAAAAGCATGCAACAAAAATGACATTTTGATAAATGGAAAGTCAAATTTAAAATTGAAACATTTGGAATTTAACTCACTGGAACCCTGCAGGTTTAGAACAAGTGAGGTAAATGAGTAAATTATGACAGAATTTCCATTTTTGTGTGTCATCCAGGGTCGAATTTACTTTCTTTTGTAACTTAGGCAAAGAACATATTTACACTTGCTAAAAATGCCACAACACAAATGCAGCCCTGGTGGCATGTCTATAAGGCAGGTATACACATGTGTATCAGCAAGACGTACCTGAGGACCACTAGTTTCCTTCTCATGGGCCAGGGTTTTCCTTTTAGTTGTGTGATGAGCTTTTTTCTTTCCTCCACAGCTTCTTTTAAATTTTCCAGCTCCTCTGGAGTCAGAGAACCCAAAACTCCCACTGCCGGACTGTTCTTTGACTCAGATTCAGAAGCAGATTCAGACTCAGATTTAGACTCCGACTCTGAGCTGGGAGGGACAATTTTTATTATAACTTCAAGATTACTTTTCAAGATATAATGTTTAATTAAGTGTTACTTTATGTTTCTTTGTAATAATTTGTGAAATGTACAAGGAGTGATAGTATTTTTTTACTTATTTTTTTCAGTTTACTAACTGCAAATACAAATTTTTCAACAAATTACATTAACAAAACTTTCAGAAAAAAAAATGTATTGACAAATGTACATAAACTTACTCAACTTAATTTATTTCTAGAGCGCTTTTAACCAACCACAATGGGTACCAAACTGCTGTACATAAAAACACATAATACATGCAAACATGCAAGAAGCCAAAATACATAAACTCACAACACATGATGAAAAGATAAAGAAAATAAGTGTGTTTTCAGCGACCTCTGAAGTGACTCCAAAGTAGAAGATGTTCTTATAGGGAAATGAAACCCCCCTCTTTTGGTTCAAGTCTACCTCCGAATTTTATTTTAAATGCTCCGAGATGGGCGTGGACGGTAGAGCAGGGGAAAATAAGGTAAGCAAACAACTGTCAGCTGGCACAAACCGCGAGGAGAACCAAGATTTTATAGTTTACAAAGTTAAAATGCAAAGAAATAAACAGTAAGTAAACTAATTCCCTGCTACATTTGCTATTCAAAATTTCATATACACAAACTACAATTTGTTCTATCATTATAAAGATAATCATGTTTATATAAACACTATAAATGAGGAGGACTTCTCTCCTCCTGAATCCCAGGGCTGAATGCAGACACAGTGGATAGCAGTGCAGCAGGTCTCTTTCCCTTTCGATTCCAACCATTAACCCTGCCGGGAATCTGCAGGATTTTAAACATATGACGAACACAGCAGCACACATGTAGGCGATATTTCTGAATGGTAACGAACTTAACTAATAACTGTGTGGTAAACCGGAGCACCTGTAGGAAACCCACACCAACATGGAAAGTACATGCAAACTCCACACGAAATGCCAACTAAGCCAGCCGGGACTTGAACCAACGACCTTTTTGCTGTGAAGCAACAGTGCTAACCACTGAGCTACTGTGTTGCCCAACTTAAATAAGTTTAAAATTATATTTATAGAGTTTTTTGGGTGGTTTGATAGCAGTTGATAACATAATTAGAACTTCGCTTAAAAACTGGAAATGTAACAAACTTACGTAGTCTCTGGCTTCTTTCTTTTCTTTCTTCTCTTTTCTTCCTTCAAATGCTGTTTTGTCTTTTCATGATTTGTCTCGTCCTCTTCATTTTTAACATGTTTCCTTTTCTTTTTCCTCACATCCTTCTCCTTCTCCTCCTCCAGTTTTAAAGTCTTGTTTTTTTCATTTTTCATGTTCTTTTTCTCTTTGCTGGATTTATCCTCAGCATCCTCTTCTCCTGCATTCTTTCGTCTTTGCCTTTTTCCATGTTTCTCTCCTGCTTTCCTTGCAGTTCTGTGGCCTTTCTCATGTTTCTTTTCTGCTTTTTTACTTTCCCCCTCGTTTGTTCTTTTCTCTGAAGCTTTTCTCCTAGTTTCACCATTTCTCTCCCTCCTTCGTTTGCCATCTCGACTAGCCTGCTTTATCTTGCCTCTCTCACAATTTTCCTCCACTTCCACATAATAAACACAGGATTCTTTGTCCTTTCCTTAAAGAAGATATTTCTTAACTCACCGTATATAAATACATGAAAAACGATCGCAGAAAATAAAATCTTCCTACCTTCATCCACCTCAATGCTCACTGTAAATGTAAACGAAATGAAAAAAGTGAGACAAAATAAAACAGTAACAGTTTTATGATAAGACATCATGAAGTCCTCAAAGGTCAAACATGTAGGGTTCCCAGCAGCTGTTGAGCGTCTCCTGTATTGTTTGTGTCCACAGTGTAACCAGACCGGTAAGTGCTGACCGGGTCATTACATGCTTAGTTGTGTTGTACAATAGACACAATACAGGCTCTTTATCTTTAGTGTCAGTGCAAACTATCCTCTCAAAGGGGTCAAAGGGCAAGAGAATGAAAGCAATGTTCATAAGTTTGCATGCATAGACTTAAAGTTCATATGTGATGATGACTAGTACAGCGTAGTAAGTTGAATTGAGAATTATTAGCCCCCAGTTTATTTTTTTCCCGATTTCGGTTTAACAGAGAAAACATTTTTTATCATTTCTAAACATAATAGTTTTAATAATGCATTTCTAATAACTGACTTCCTTTATCTTTGCCATGATGACAGTACATAATATTTTACTAGACATTTTTCAAGACACTAGTATTTTGCTTAAAATGAATATTAAAAGCTTAAGGTTAATTCGGTTAACTATGCAGGTTAGGGTCATTAGGCAAAATATAACAATGGTTTGTTCTGTAGACTATCAAAAATATAATAATATTGAACTTAAAATGGTTTCTAAAAAATTAAAAACTGCTTTTATTCTAGCCGAAATAAAAAACAAAGAAGACTTTCTCTAGAACAAAAAAAAAATTATCAGACATACAGTGAACATTTCCTTGCTCTGTTAAACATAATTTGGGAAATATATCTTTTAAAAAAAGAAATCAAAGGGTGGCTAATAATTCTGACTTCAACTGTATTTGAAGTAGGTTTGCATTAAAATGATATTATGATTACTTTCCGGCATGAAGTGACTATTCAAAATAGGCAATTTGATCAGAGCCAACATTCAGATTTGAAATACTGAGTCTGAGGACAACAAAGAGCTTTCGCTTTATTGCAGATGCCTATAATATCAAAACTTATAATGTTGAAATTATTATTTTTAATCAATCATGGCTTAAAGCAAGACACTGCAGTTGGATAGGATAAAAAAATAACTAATATATCGCCATGCGTCCCGGGGTTATTGCTTACTTCAAGAATTGCAAAAAATTTTTTAAATGTTGTTTACATATGCAAATGATTCCATTTCATGCATTTCTGTATAACACGAAAAAAATCTGAACAGCGGATTAAGTCATCGTCAAAATTGTTGTTTAAGTTGTTTTTTTAAATATTAGAATAAAATGTTATTACAAAGAGGATTTTGGGTATTTCTATACCAATTCAAAAAGCCTAATATCTCACAGAGGTGCATGAACAAACATGCAGTGCTTTGCATTTACATTTTAAATAAAATGAATTGAACATATCATCAGCATTTTGTTTTTACAATATATATTAAATGCACATAGACAATAATAACAATAATCTTTACCGTCACTTTCAGATGCGATGAGTTTATGCCGTGGCATCCTTCTCCTGAGTAGCCTTGCATGTGGTTGACCGTGTGTGTGCGTGATGATGATGATGATGATGATGATGATGATGATGATGTCGCAGCAGTAGACCATGGCCTGACTGAACAGAGCCTGCCGGTGATGAGTAGCGTGCATGAAGAGTTCACTTTTTACTAGCATTCAGGGACCTCAACCAGGAACAATAACCATTCGAAACTCTAGAGCCTCTCCATTTCACCCCTTTGAATTATTGAACAGAATTATGACTCTTTTTTTCAAAAAGAATGGGGGTCACACAAAACCATGCCAAAATAGAGGATGATAGTCTAATGAGCGGCTATAGAAAGAACGAAGAGACGATAATAGATTAGTGGCGCAGGGAAAGCAGAGTCATTGTCAGCTGAACTTTCACTTAAACAAACAATACACTGCAATACACTGTAAAATGCTGGGTTGCTAAATTTTTGCTCTAACACAACTAGGTTAAGTTTTAAATAAGGACACGGTGGCTCAGTGGTTAGTACTGTCACCTCACAGCAAGAAGGTCACTGATTCGAGCCCTGGCTGGGTCAACAAGCATTTTTGTGTGGAGTTTGCATGTTCTCCCCATGTTTGCGTGGGTTTCCTCCGAGTGCTCCGGTTTCCCCCAAAATCCAAAGACATGCGCTAAAGGTGAATTGAATAAACTAAATTAAATTTTTTGGTCAAAGTGTATGTGTGTGAATGAGAGTGTATGGATGTTTCCCATTACTGGGTTGCAGCTGGAAGGGCATCCACTGTGTAAAACATATGCTGGATAAGCACTGCTGGCCGTGTGTTCACTTGAGGCCGCGTGGTTAGGCCATGGGACCCATAATATAGTCATTAAGCTGTGAAACATTTTTTCTGCTCTTTTATGCTTTATTGAACATAAATAATCATACACTGAAAGAACACAAAGACTGATGACCATTAAATAGCATTCCAAAGCATTTTAATTGGGATTAGATTAGTGATATGAGCCAGAACAGCTGTTTAAAAATAAATTGCATGCTTGTAATAGCCTATCTTTTGCCGTTTATAATGACGTGATGTACAAATATTTTTCCTTTGGTGAGTGACAATTCATTTTATAACACATAGCTAGTAAGTTAACGTTTATAGGTAATTTCAAAGGAAAATTACTAATAGTTTGATTTTTATCTCACAGTACAGCTAATATTTTACCTGCAACTGATAGCCAAGATGCAGAGACATTTACGGTATGCATTTTTTTATTCCATTAACTTTTAGGGTTAAATAAAAACACAATATAGCCTAAAAATAAACAAAGTTAACGTGTGTTGCTATTAATGCATAAACTTGTTAATTTCAACCTAAGTGATCGTGTTTCAAAAACATTTAAAGTTAAACAGCCCTATTTTACACTGTCGGCCGGTTTGTAACCTACACGGTAATAGTGTGGTGAATCTCCTAAGGGAGATATAAGAAAGAAGGTGAATTTATCTTTGGATCATCTCCGGTTACAAGATTTTTTTTATATAGTTAATTAAATTATCCATTTATTGAATTTTATTAACGTCTGCCCCAACCCTAAAACCAACCCTCGCACTGGCAGTGATGTAAAGTCAGTACTTATTGTAAGGTAGTTGTATTTTTGGAATAATATACATATAAAAATATATAAATTAAATATTAACATACGTTAACTTCCGGCCTCAGTCAGGGACGTCGAGAACCAAAGATTCGATTCTGATTCTAAACAATCGACTGAAAAAAATTCTAAACATTCGATTTGGGCTGTTATGAGGCGCTGAATTTTCTCTTGAGCTCAGACAGCTGATGTGAGAGCAGTTGGCCGTGAAAGTCATGTGCATCATTGCAGCGTGTCTAGGTCTTCGCGGGTTTTTGCGTACAACAGCGGTTCCCGCCTTGGGCTTTACGTGTCTGCTGCTCCGTTATGCTGCGGAATGGCATCCGGTAGTCAGTACTGGCCTGGCTGGCACCCGGTTTACTCGCTGCACTCCCTGGGAAGAGGCGCCCGTGTACACTTTGACAGTGATTACTAAAGGCTCCAGTGACTCTCATGGAAACACTGGAAGCCGCGATCGACAAATGCAGATAACAATCCCTGCAAATTGATATCTCGGAAATCATGGAGGCAATAGAGAAAAAGCAATCGCAAGAGGAAAGGGGACCAATGGAGAAAACCAAAGGGTAACGCTTTACAATAATAGTACATGAATAACTAATATAATAATATATCAATTCAACATTACATCATTTTGAACCAATGATGAGGTGTGCCACTTATGCCCTAATCATAAACTTTAACTACAACACAAGTCACATGAGTTCATGTGTGAATAATAGCTACCTCAATTACTTGTTAGTTTATGTTTGTTAATTATAGTATCGGTTAGCATTGTAGTTTTAGGTAAATGTAACTAACATGAACTTGTGACGTGACCTGTTAATGTATCTTTTTCATCACTTTACTTGGAGGGGCACATTATCATTTTCTTGAACTGTTGTGTTTATAGTTGAGCACATCCTTCTAGTGCAGGGGTGGCCAACCCTGTTCTTGGAGAGCCACCTTCCTGCAGACTTCAGTTGCAACCCATATCAAACACACCTGCCTGTAATTATCACGTGGTGTTCAGGTCCTAATTAATTGGTTCAGGTGTGTTTGATATGGGTAGCAACTGAAATCTGCAGGAAGGTGGCTCTCCAGGAACAGGGTTGGCCCTGTTCTAGTGCATGTTTACATTGAAAAACAATAGAAAAGTGTTCTGTCTACACCAAACAGAACAGTTAAAACTAGGTTAGTGCATGCCTTAACTCATCGTTAGTTCATAAAAAGTAATAGTAGTTTACATTTTAGTACATAAATATTCAGGCACTGTTATTGTAAAGTGTTACCCATGTCATATACAGTAAGCATTAAATAGGTGACATGATGGCACTTGGTGAGCACTCATGAACATCATGAGTCCTGGTTGGGCCAGGAGACCTTTCTGTGCAGAATTTTCTGACTGTGGGTGCTTCGGTTTCTTCAACAGTCCAAAGATATGCAGTGTGTGTTCTAGAGAGTGTGTGTAATCATATATATATATATATATATATATATATATATATATATATATATATATATATATATATATATATATGCCATCACTCTGTCAGGCTTTTCAGGACTTCAACAAAAAATCATACATGCTTACTTGTCAGGAATAGCCACTCAATTCAGCCACACTTATTATTAGATACACTTTTGTGTTGTCAGATGATACAGTCTAATACAGGGTCATGAAAACAGCCTGGAATTTAAAAATTGAATAATAATAAATAATACTAATGGTAGAGGGTGGAAGTTGGTGATGTCTGCAAATGAGCCCCCTCTGTGGTAGGAGGTGGGAGGGCACAGAGGGCCTACATTGTGCAGACTTTTAAAATCAATTAGTAGAATGAACAAACATTTTAATTTTATATCAGTTCTTCGCCACCATGACTTTATTTAATCAACATAATCTAAGTGTACATTACATAAGAGAAGCAATGCAAAAATAAAAAGCAAAGCAGACAATGTCACTCTGCTTCATATTTAAAGCAGCTATTATACTAATTGCCTTTGTAATGATATTCTGGTCTCAAAAAATGAATGTTTCAAGACTGTTGAAATCTGTCTTCTTTCCATTCAAGATTTTTAACAGTTCCTAAACTGTTTTCTGCAAAAAGAGACTCTGCATTTTGACTGTATAAATCATCCTAAACAAAAATGGACGTCCATTTCTTCAAAGATATCAAAATATTTCTTCAATGATTCTTCACCCGAAAATGTTAAAATTTTACAAAGAAAGCTTTACTTTTATGAATGCTGAGTTAATGCACTTGTGAATGTCAACTAAGTCAGGGAAAGATATAACCTTACCAGGAACAAGTCTTCTTGATGATTCTCTTTCCTACAAAAGATTAAAAAAATATCATATAAATAAAAATGCATAGTGAGACCATGTTGTTGTTTTTTTATCAGTTATTATTATTATTTACAGTGACCTAAGACTGCTATCTAAAATGGAGCAAAATATATTTATGAGGAGTATTTCAGATATTTTCAATTCATTATTTTTAGTTACAACTGCATTATTAATCTACAATTTCCAAATTATTCCTAATTTTCAGGGATTTGACTGTCTATAAAAACTTTCACATGCAGGTACAGTTTGAATATCATTACTATGAGGTACTATAATATTTAGCATATACTTGATATTGTGTGGAACAAAAGAATATTGCTACAATAATAATTAATAAAAAACATTACATTATGTAACAGACTAAATATGATGAAATGTATATATTTACTTATATTTCTATTAATATTAATCTAATTAGTTAAATTAAAAATGTCCCTAAATTATTTCTTTTGCCTGATTTTGAAACAACCAACTGTCGTGTGCTAAACCTCCCTAATTTGGGACCAAATGGTAACTGCTCAAATAAAATGGCCTTGAACTTTAAACTAGCTTAATCTGCCCTGCAATGTGACTGGGTAGATTATTATACTACTTAAGAGCTATACAGTGCCAACAATGTACAGTATGTAGCAGAGCAAATGCTCCCATATGATAAAAACAGAATTTCTAGAGGCATCTCCGGAGAAATTCATTTGAAGAAGATAGATTTTACTCGTATATGCCTGAGGTGTCCTTAGGGAGTGAGCTGCACTGAATGGAAGAAGCATAGAAATAGAGGTATTAGAGTTGTGGAAAAAGAGTGTATAGCCTCTATAAAAAGATCTTTATATGCGGCCATATTTATAGTGAATCTCATTAAGAATTTTTATTATTATCTTTGTCGTGTTGTGCCTAAATTATCCCAGCTGTATCTAATAATGGGTATTAAAGCCCATTCACACCAAGGATGATAATGTTACCCCTACAGATGTGCAGTGGAGATCAAAATTAGAGAACAACCTATACTTCCTGAATTTTGAGGTAACTTTTAGTTCTGTTTGAAGCTGTCCAAACAGGAGTAAAGGAGTTTTATTAATGTTGAGAGTTAACTTCTGAATATCCTGAAGCACAGTATAAAAACTTAAAGGGATGGTTCACCCAAAAATTTTAATTCTGTCACCATTCACTCAAAATTCACTTGTTCTCAAACCTGAGTTGTTTCTTCTGCTGACCACAAAGAAAAAGTGATGGGAGTAATGAGTTAGAAAAGTAAAGCATTACAGAAATTATGTTTTCTCTGATGTAACGCATGCAGTTAATGATCATTTTTTTCGGTAATATTTGTCTCGTTACATGTCAAAGGAAAAAACAGTAAGACCACAAGCTCTATGTTTGCCACTTATGTGGACATACCTACAGCAGAAATTATAAGATTACAGGATGTAAAACTGATGATTTTGCTGAAATGTTTATTTCTGATAGATGGATTTTTCTGATAGATCATGGACCGCATAAGCTTAATCAGTATGGGTTTATGAATTCAATTGGCCAAAGTACATTTTCCAAATTCCAAAATGCAAAACAAGCAATCTAGGCTCTGCAAACTAGGTTCAGTCACACAATGCCAAAAAGACATTGAATTAAATATAGCTAAATATCATTACAAAAAAAACTGAGATATATCCCATTCCACTTTTTTAATCAGAACTATTTATCACTGCAAGATGTCCTTTTAAAGTTCTAATGATTTTAGTACCTTATATTTCAGCATGTGGATATTTCTCAGGCAACACTAAAAGGGCACTTTTTAAGTGGTGAAGCACATAAGAGGTATGGGAAAATTAATTTCATAATTACATATGCATGTAATTACATTTTTACTTTTTAGTAGCTAAGTTATGTCACAAATTTTAGGTCCACGATTGTTTATAATTTACTTTAACAGTATGTGTAAGATATCAGAGTTGTTTTATATGCAGATGAGTATCTTTTGTTTTGGAAAAATTTACCAAAACCTATGTGGTTGATTAAAACAGAAATCAATCAATTGAAATTGTGGTGTGATGTAAACAAATTGTCATTGAATATAAATAAAACAAAGGTTATGTTATTTGGGAAATTAAAAAGTAGTCATAATTTTTATATTATATAATTAATTTATATTTAAAAATTGAAAATGAAATAATAGAAAGAGTATATGCAATTAAGTTTCTTAGTGTTGTATTGGACCATAAAATTAGTTGGAAACCGCAAATAAGTAATGTGATATCAAAATTAGTGAAAACTGTAGCAATAGTGTATAAAACAAAATTTATCATGGACAATATATCATTGTATGTATTATATAACACACTTATGTTGCCATATATGTATTATTGTGTTGAAATTTAGGGGAATACATGTATAACTCACGACCCTTATGTACAGTGCAGAATGCAAAAGTAATTAGACTGATGAAAAATGTGGGGTATTTGGAGCATACAAATCTTTTATTTTTTAAACTGTAGATACTTAAGTTCAATGCTTTGGTTAAATGTAAAACAGCACAATTTATGTTTAAAGCTAGGAATAAATTATTTCTGAAGTACATACAAAAGTTTTTTGAATAATGGCAAGTGGGATATAATCTGAGAGAAAAACTCAATTTTAGGAGGTTGAAAACAAGGACCACTTTAGAAAGTTTGTGTATGTCTATAAGTGGTGTAACAGTATGGAACAGTCAAGAAAAGACTCTCAAACAATGTCAGAATATTAATCAATTTAAAAAGTTGTGTGTATATATATATATATATATATATATATATATATATATATATATACTTACACAACTTTTTAAATTGATTAATATTCTAATTAATAAAATAAGAAATAGGTTTAGGTAATAGCCGAATGATGTGTGTGGTAATAGGGTGGGAAAATAATAAGCTTGTGCTTCATCCTGCTCCATTTTCGACCATGTTGAAATGTATTTTATGTTAAAGAATGTTTATGTATGAAATTCCTGTTCGAAAATAAATAAATCAAATCAAATGTATAAGAGACTGAAAGACTGGACTACATCTCATTGAAATTATTGTAAGAAGGGGTAGATTACAAGTGATGGTTAACAAAGAAATGTGAAAGACTCTCCAAACCACTAAATAAAAAACCAAAAGCGTTTGTATTCATTGCCATTCACATCCTGACCACCCGATGCCACTAAAGATACACATTTGAGCTTGTTCTACTGAAATGAATGAGCAATCTAGGGGAATTCAAATGATGTCAGGCTACATTCATTGCTTGACCCAGTTCTTCGGCACATTACTCAGTCAGTCAGCAGATATTCATGTTTATAGAGTGTATATGCAGAAAATGTGCCACTAGTGTCCTGTTAGTGTCATTCTGTTGGCCTACAGTCTATATCTGTACTTGTACGAGAGCTGAATTGTTTTTCTCGGCTAAGTTTAGCAGCACCGTTAGGGGATTCCTTCTTCTGAGAATCGACAACAGCCTTAACTGTATTCTGAGCATGTATACTTCACTCATACACTGACACACCTTTGATCAGAGGAACATGAAACGTTACCATTTTTCCACTCGTGTCTCATAAAAATGGATATTCAAGTTTGCTTAAACAGTAGAGCACTACTTTGGACTTTATGATCAGTGCAAGTACAATACAGATTTCAATGAGAACAAAAAGTGCTGTTTAGCGTCAACAGACGTGACTAAAACTATGAGCTGGCAGCTTTGTTTTGATTTGTGATTGTTGTGAGTCACAGTCTAACCACATTACAACGTCCTTTATGTTGTCATCATTCTTAGCCACCCTCAGGTAATCATGTGATCTGAACTATTAGCTGCATTCCATTACTCTGAAGAATCCCCAGTCAGGATATTTAATACACTCTGAGTAGATGAAGGTGTATATTTATAGAAGGGCTGGTGCCCTGTAACTCTCACAATTTCATTCAGGCTGTATTCTTGGTACTGGAAAGTATTTTTGGATGATTCATTTATGTTGTGCAGTCCTCCGTGTCAGTTTGCTTAAACTCTTGTGACAGGGCATGTTAATACTAAGCCTATGATTATATGTAGATGAGTGTACGTCTAAAATGTGAAGACAGCTTTTTAGTGTCACATTGTTCATGTTTGTGTACATCACGTTTCTGGTAGAGGATTACATATCTTCACACTCAAGAACGCTGCTGGACAACTTTCCTCTGAATTTGACTTACAGAACCAAAATGTGAAAACAACTGTAGCTACAGTTTGTAATAATAAGAGGATTTAGTCGCCTTTAAAAGGATAAATTCAATATATTGTCATATTATACTACCTTAATGTGATTGCTGAAGTCATGTTTAAAAATATCTTTATGAAAGAGCAAACTGAAAACAGTGTCAGAATGCTGGGTACTTTTGAGCTAATTTTCCCTTTAAAGAGGCAGTAGGTTTTAAAAAAAGAAAGCATGCTTGAAACAACTACAAGGGCAGGAAGAAGCTGTCAAACTAAAGCTGGGCAGTTGCAGTATAACGGTTTTGATCAAAATAGGTTAAAATAGCTCATCTTAAGTAATTAAAATATGTTCTGTCAGCCTAAAATGCTACTAATCTGGCATTGCTTTACTGGTAGTAGTATCACCTCCCTTCTGTGTTATTTTGGTATCACTAAGATACAACAACAAAAATGGTTGCTGGTTTGAGCCTTGGCTGGGTCATTTGGCATTTCTAAGTGGAATTATGTTTTCATAGTAAGTTCATTATAAAATGCTATATATATATATATATATATATATATATATATATATATATATATATATATATATATATATATATATATATATATACATACATACATACATACATACACACACACACACACACACACACACACACACACACACACACACACACATATATATATATATATATATATATACACATATATATATATTTATATATATATATATATATATATATATATACATACATACATACAATTTACCATGGGAAACTATATTGTAATACAGTCTGGTATATTTCCTTTGGCCCACCGATCAAGTTTAGTTTTTGGCCCTTCACAAGAAAAAGTTTGGGCACCCCTGGCCTAAACAAAGCAATATAATATTCAGTCACTTCTGTGTATTTCAGTCACTTCTGTGTATATATGTGTATTTATGTGTATGTCGTGTATGATGTGTATGTTGTGTGTATGACTTGTGTGTATCACTGTGGACGGCAAAACAAGAATCTCATTGTAGAGGGAAACATGTTTCCTTACTGTGCACATGACAATAAACAGTTGAATTGAATTGTTGAATTGAATATATTTCTGTTCACTATGTTCCATTAACGATGAAACAAAGGCACATATAACTGAACCATTTTCCAAGAACAGTATCCAAATCACATGCAAAATGCCTAACTGGTCCATAAAGAGCTGTTATATGTATAAGAAAATCATATTGTATTAGATATCACAAAACAGATATCCTTAGAGTTTCTGCAAAATGCATAATAAATGCATAAGCTTCTGTGTGCTCAAGGATCAATACAGATAAGGCAACATTTATTGCACATATTTACTTTGGGGATGCTCTACTGTTATCTATGCAGTGTAATAAAAATGCAAAAATCACATGGTGTTTCTTTGCTTTGTTCTCTGGGCTGGGATCTCTACTTAAGCCCTGACACAACAAAAACACTAGTTTCAAGGTGAAACGTGCCATAGATTAAGCTTGTACGTCATGTTTGCTCACACACATCACATGTATAAGAACACACACACACACACACACACAAATACAGTGCGACTAACCCAAACTCAAACTAGTTCAGGCAGATTTATTTTCCCTAAAATTTGCTGTTTTTAAACTCGTCCCCCTCCTCCACCTCTTTGAACTCTTCTTCTCGAAAACAACCAGGCGGTGTCTGCCTCTGCTCATGTGCGAAGCCACCCTCAGGACACACAGAGTTGAGTTACACCACCGAAAGGAATCTCTCTCTCTCACATAAGCTTGAAGACTCACGGTCGGTACAGTTCACGTGAGCTGACACTGTAAGTTATGAATACAGTGAAAAACACATGAGCTGTCAACCTCTCCATGCACAGAGGTGAGGAGGATATGAATGACTTCCTAGAAAAAGTTAAAGCCTACAGCAGTTTTTGTTCACAACAGCAAAGGGTTCGGTCACACTTAGTTCTGATTTTCTTAGCATTGCCTTTTTAAAATCCATGTGAAATCCAATTTAAAGCAATTATTTTGCTAGCACACATTGTTATTCTTTAGGCAAACAACTCATCTGTATAAGTTAATCCACTAAAAAACATGCATACTTTTTTTTTGGTAATTTTAAATCAAAGTCTGATCATTTGCTTCCACATTTGACAGCTTCAGCCACAATATACTAATCCCCACCCCTCTTACTTTAGTTTGCTTCAAGAGAATGATGGACAAAAAGAAAGCTCCGTCCCCTACTCAATATTCAGTTTTAGTTGGAAGCACATAACATATTAAGGTAAAGTTGGTTTTATATTCACACATTCGTTCAGTGACAACTTGTGACATGCACCATATTTTGTTTACCATGTTACTTTGATTATTTGGTCTGAAATAACATGCAAGTATGACTTAAAAACAATATCAGCACTAATTGACTATGGATATTGTTGTACTCTGATAGTCATTGGCTGTCAATATGATTTAACTATTTAGAATTTTCAAAGAATACATTAATGAAAATATATTATTAAGGAGAAAGTGCGAATGTGCGAATATAAAACCAACTTTTCCTCAATCAATAACATACTGAAATAAAAGTCTCAGTGACTTCCAATTCACACAGACTTCAAGGTCAAACCTGAAGGTACAAAAAAAAAACTTGTATGTTTTATCTTTTTTTGGAACTTATCAAACAGCCAAAATAATGTGGTGGGTGATGTGGCTAAATCTGCATGCTGTAATTGAGTTGAAGTTGGTTTTATATTTGTACATTCATTAATTTTAACAGTCCCTATATTGTTTACTATGTAATGTTATAATTTTGTACTAAGTCATAGATTGTAGATAGTTGTTGGCTGCTAATATGATTTTACTATTTAGAATTTTCAAATAAAACTTTTGTGAAAATATATTATCATTGAGAAAGTCCAAATGTATAAATATTTAACCAACTTTACCTCAATCATGCTGCATGTGCATACATTATGGTACTTTGTTTAAGTTAAAACTAGTAAAAAGCTTAGAAATTGTGTAAAGGAGACGTAACAGTGCTAATAGGAACTCCATCTCACATACAAATGAAGATCTGCTGTAAACAAACACGTCTCATTTGGTTTGAATGTGAGAGCTCAATGTTCTCATTCAAGTCCCAAATCTAACACAAACCCACAGTATTCGCCATAGTTTTGTGGCTCTCATTTTCTGTTTAACTCCTTTCATGTTTAAGCATATTAATGCGAATTTAAATTGAAAACCAAAGCCAAACATACTGTTGGCCAACACATAGAGCGTCCTCTAAGATAGTGGTCAAACAGGAGACAAAATAAATGACTTCCTTTTCTTTTTGTTATAGATCACTTCAGTGTGGTCATGTCATTGGCCCATGAACATTACCTGCTTGTTATTAAACTATTTCATAACTGTAACAAGAGGCAATTCAATCGTAATCTAATGTTATAACAGCTATCATGACATTATGTATCAATATGCAGCTCTTTTTGGATTTTCTGAAGCTATAGAATTAAAAATGTAAAACAGGAAATTCTCAAATACGCTGGGACCATTGTTTTTGTTTATATGCCTCAAAATGGTCTATATGACTGACCAAAACATTTTGTATGCATTATTACCAAGTGTAAAGAGGGCTTGTCAATTGTAAACACACCCTAACATGCATCACTGTGTAAATGCACCATTTGAGATGCAGTTCTCTTGCCACCTTTGTAGTGTAAAGATGGCATTAGAGTGTCAACAACGCATGCCAAATGTTGTGGTGTCAAAAGCAAAAAAAAGAGCTGTGAAATGTAAAAACAAATGAAGGATAACAAATTGATCATTGTTAGCCACATTAAAGGAGGCTAATAAAGTTAGTGTATCATTCATATCACACAATAAATACCTATTAAACGTCTCCATTTCATGAACCTGTTTACTTTGTGGGTGCCTTCAGTCTTCGGAGACTTTTATCAAGAAGGTATGATTTCGTCATCGTGTAGGTGGCAATCCTTTAAAGAGGATTGTTTCTTTGACGAGCACACCCCGCCCCGATAGTCGACTGACCAATGAACAGCTCCCAATATGTGATGACATCATCAGCAACTCCCCTTTACTAAAGAAGGAAACAAACAGAGTGAAAGAAGAGAGAGCTCAGCAGCGAAGGGGAAAGGAATTCACTTATTTACATCACCGACACAAAGCCTCGAGAGGACGACAATCTCCCTTTCGAAGAGTTCCTGTTCGTTAACCGACCGATTAGATTATAAAAGCCTCCAAGGTAAGCGCAACGACGTTTGTTTGAGTTTTATTTTTGCTGTAACCGCGAGAGATTTGACGCTGTGATCACGAAAAGACTGGCTGACCCCGAAAAAAAATGAGAGATTAACGATTATCGATTCAGGACGTGTAGCTCACTTGGTTAAACAGATCGCTTGGACGTATAAAAGCCAGGATTATTCGAGGATTTTGGTTATTTTTTCGGTTTGACGGGTGGTTCCCTAAAAAAAGAAAAGTGAACCAAGTTGTCAGCAGCACCTTCACGAACATCACAAGCCCCAGAACGTGACTCGCCTGGGCTCAAAACAAAGACCCGGTCAATCGCTAACTTTATTTTTACTTTGTAAGTACGTCGATTGATTTGTCGTGCCTCTTGTTTATTTAACGTTACTTTAAGTAACGTTGACTAAAGTACATCGGTGTTTTTTTAAAACAGAACCCCATCAAACGGATTAATCGTATCTTCGTTGTGCTGTGGACTGTTTATTGTTCAATCCTGTCCGTATTTTAAGGAAATCTCTTTTAATTTGTGTGTGTGCGTGTTTGTTGCTATGTGGTACTAGTTACTTGGTCAAACAACTGGCTAAGCCTGTTAGCTTTTTGTTTCAGGCTTGTTCAATGGACAGATTGTCTGGAGAGGAAATCCTGGAGCAAAAGGACAAAGAAGGAAGATTAAACAAAGCCAATGCTGCTCTGTAGTTGTGGTGTTTGCAATGTGTTTGGATGTGTCATGATATTTAATGTCTTGCTATTTTTGGCTGTTCTAGTTCAGCCTGTCCTCTAAAAATCCACCCAGTTTAGTTTGAGAGATTCGACTGTCTACCTAGATACACACGAGCCCCAAAAATGCTGTCTAGATAGTAAGCTCGGTTGGTTTTGGGGTAACGTAAACGTTACAGCCACTTGTTTACATCGCGGGCAGGACTGTCCTGTAAATGGACTACTCGGTGACCTGTAATTCTCGGTTTAAAGTTATGTTAACCGCCAGCAATTACTGACGAGCGGTTATTGATCAGTGTTGTCTGTCAGCTGGTGTCGGTGCTCTCTGACTCGCATGGTTGAACACGTGAACGCTGTCCTAACAGCTTGTATGCTGCTTTTGCTTACAAATAAAAGATTAGAGATGGAATGTCTTAATGTCTCACCTTTACTGCCTCCTGAAATTGCATATCACGCTTGACACCCACTCATTTGGTTAGTCATGGTTTAGTGGGGGATCTTGTGTCGTGCCGTTTCATGTGTGGAGTAATCAGGGAGTCAGACAGGCGGATTAGGACTGGAGAGAGTTTACTTCCGTTTGGATGTGGTTGAGAATAGATGCCGTGGAAGTCGGTATTAGTCTGGTCATTTGGTTGCCTTGACTGTAATTACTCTGTCCTGATGAGGGTGGTTGAGGAGCTTGTGTCTTTATTTTTGGCTGAGATAAAACAAGGCCTTTTAATTATAGAGGTATTTCCTGTGTGTTCAGGCTTAGGCTCTGGAGAAGTTTAAACCCTTCAGCTTTAAAGCTGCACAAGGGTAACATTTGGCTAATTGAAAGTTAAACGCATGAAGATATGAATTGCACTTTTCATGAGTTATTGACATGTGAGCAATTCCAGCGTTATGGATGTGACATGTGAAAAATATCAATCTTTATACATTTTTTATATTTTAAATGAGAAAAAATAAGCATGCGTTATGGGTGTGACAAAAAAAGTGAGTTTACAATATACAACAAAATCTGTAGAAATTCTGTGAATCAAGCTGCACAACCCAAAAGAAACAATGCTAATCAAAAGGATAAGAGTTGGCTCACTATAGAACAAAAAGAATTGATTTGATTTTCTTTGACATTTTTGCATTTATGAGGAAAAAGCTTCGTTATAGATGTGAAATCTCTCCGTTGTGAATGTGACAGATGTGAAATTGCCACTTGTGTGACTTTGGTAAACCAAATATAATTGTTTGAAAACAAAGACATGTTTGAGTATTTTAAAGCACTGTAAAATACAAGCTTACACAAAGAAACACAGAAACTGTTTTGCTATTTCGGCGAAAACTTAATTTTTTTCATGTCAAGGTTGACATTTGCATGGAATTGCTACATTTGGGCAACTTGGGAGAAAAGTTCCTTTGTTTTACTACATGGAGCAGGTTCTGGCATCATGGGTTCCACCATGTTGCGGTCACATGACCAGCTAAATTAGTTACTATCAATTTTGGGGGTGGGAAAGGAAAGGTGTTTATATATATTTTGTAGTAGTTATTTTTGAAGTTAATCTTCTTAACCAGTGTTAAGATGATAAATTTAGAAAGACTAGGGATGTAGCCTTGAGAGAGAAGTATAAAATGACAGATAACAAACTTTGTTTATTTTCTTCAAATCACCTTCAAAGTTTTACCTGTTTGTCACCAAGAAGTTTTTAATACTCAAAAATGTGTTTGCATCATAGCTTATACTTTATATTTATTTTTAAAAGTACAGTTGATTCAAAACGAACATCTTTACATGCATGTATGTGTTATACACAATGGCAGTGAAACCTTTTCACCCTTTTTAAAATGTGTCAAAAGTTACTGAGACACCTTACCTGGATTTAACATGCTTTCAATGAAATTAAAACCAGCTTTGTAAACTTAATATGATGCGGGCACCAAAATGGGACGTCCTGTCTTTGACCCATGTGTTCATACCCACACTGCTAACGGGCCAGACAATTTAACAGCTAGTCTTGCAACAAAAACCTGCTCAATGCACCTTTAAAACAATGATCTCCTCTCCTCAAGCATGTAAGCTGAAGACAATGCTACCATTGTTAACAAGACCACTCTTGTCCTGTCTCCGTTTTCCTTTGTGATATATTAGCAATGGCCCAAGAGACAAACCAGAGCCCCGTGCCTATACTGTGTACCACAGGCTGTGGTTTCTATGGCAACCCTAGGACCAATGGCATGTGCTCGGTGTGCTATAAGGAGCACCTGAACAGACAGCAAAGCAGTGATCGCAGTCCCATGAGCCCCCTGGGTAAGTCACTCTGAAACATTAACCTGCTTGTCTAACCTCCTGGGTAGTGCTCTCTATGGTTACAGACCACACAAACAACATGGTTATACTATGGTATAAGGGCTCTCATTCATTGCATCTCTTGGAGACGGTGATTTTATAATTGCTATAACAGACAAGAGTTAGTGCTTGTTAGGCATTTCAGACCCCACCAGTACCCAGAGATGGCATGCTGCTCTGAGGCTATGTTTATACCAATGTGTTTTCATTTTATAATGAACAACCTTTGCTATGGGCATACGGGCATCCAAAGTACTCTAAGGTTTTTGACCCTTGAAGACTTTTGGAAATGTTGCAGACCCCATTTAGTCTTGAAAACTCAGGTGAGGTGAGTCCATGTAGGACCAAAATGCAGACTTATGAAAATGAAGGTATGACTTCCTGCATTGGCCTACTGATCGAGTCTTTTGGATCATTGCATATCCTTCCCTGATTCATCAAGACCCACTCAAATGACCATTACACTGAGTTTTGTTTGAAAATTCTTTTTTAAATTTTTTTTTTGACACTCACATCAAGTTAAAAAGCAGCAGAAGTCAAATATAGGTGTTTTTGTTTGTTATTCATGTTTGAGTTTACACAAATACTGTTGTATGACCAAATATGATGCTCAGCCGAGCATCTTGCACTTACACAATATACTATGGTATTGCCAAATTGGCCTGAAAGCCTGCAGTCAAACTTTTATTAGGTCTGGTTGCACCAAATGATTGCTCTGCCAAATTATAATGTTTTAAATGGACATTAGAGCATGAGTGAAATCCAAAGCTTTGTTTGCATAAAATATTCACAATGCAACATTTGGTTGCCAAACTATTATGAAAACGGTTGTCTTCGTTCAGAAAGAGTGAAATCCAAAGCTTTGTTTGCATAAAATATGCACAATGCAACATTTGGTTGCCAAACTATTATGAAAACGGTTGTCTTCGTTCAGAAAGAGAGCTCTAATTAAATTTGGATATGATGAGGGTCAAAACAAAGCAAAAATATGACCCGATAACTGTAAACAATCAGCATGCTGGTTTATACTGCTTCCAGCCATAGTCAAAGCACGGTCTGAAGTGGATTTCACACCAGACACAGAAAGTGCTGCACTATGAAACCCGTTCGTTTCAATGCACTATGCAAAGGTTGGTTTGTTGCTGTGTTGACCAAAGTGTAAGATCTCAATTAGATCTCAACATTGCCCTCTGTGGTAAAGCAAGCAAAGTCTTGACAGGATATTTTTATGTCATGGGTCTTAAACTCGATTCCTGGAGGCCCGCAGCTCTGCACAGTTTTGTTCCAAGTCTAATCAAATACAGCTAATGCAGTGTTCAAGTCTACTATGGACTATTAAGCAGTAGAGCTGCACAATTAATCGTAAAAAGATTGCCATCTCGATTCGACCCCCTACACGATCTTAATCCAGCATCTCTACGATTCTGTCATTCATATTTTCAAGTTCAGGAGAGAAGCAACAGTGGCCGCACAAATCTTCACATTGTTTTACATACATATTTCAGCAATGTGAAAATAAGTCGCATGCTGTATTTATAAGATATAAATCACCTAAAAAATATTATTTATTTCTATATGTAATGTATTTGCGACCGCAAAATCACACGTGATGTGAGCTGACCGTCAGCTGTTACCAGAGGCCGGGTGCGCGCACACCTCTGAATAAACTAATGAAGTCTACTTTAGTAAACGGGACCTGCATATGCTGTGAATAACAGGTAATAAAGTTGTAAATAACATTCAGTTTGTGGCACAGAGTGATCGTTCGGGAGCCGCGCGGGAAGTAAACCGCTCTTAGTGGTGAAAATGAAACTGAAAGCACTGTGATGCGAAATGTAGCTGACTGATTCCAGCCCTAAAAGTATCCAAAACCCGCCGAAATGCAAAAATACCCACCCAGTCTTCTGTATTCAAGAAAATCACATCATTGACAGATTTTAAGCAGAAAATGACAGATTGTAAGCATATGTCTCAAACACAATAATTCAACATCAGTCTTATCAGCATTTAATGACCAGGACAAATCTAAAGACTGTTCAAGTCCACCATTCCAAGTATATACAAATTTTAGCAGTTTAACCAACAGTACAGCTACACAAAGCCTATTGCTGTTTTACCACATGTTTGAGAATGACAGTAATAATAGCCCACTCATATTAACCTTTATTTAACATCTACAGAATCGTGAGAAAATCGTGATCTTTATTTTAGGCAAAAAAAAATGCGATTCTCATTTTATCCAGAATCGTGCAGCTCTATTAAGCAGGTGTATGTTGGAGGTGGTTGAACCTCAAATATGCCAAGCGATGGCTCTCCATGAATTGAGTTTGACACCATTGTTCTATGTAGTACTTGTTCCTGCCGCTTGCAATATTGTCGTGGTCACGCTGGTAAAAATTATGCCTCTCCACTCGTTCTCATCAATAGCATGGATCATTTTGTTGGCGTACGTTTCTTGAAATCGTTAAATGAAAGGAGTTCAATTTATACATATTATAATATTTGGTAAAATAATACAGGTACAAAGCAGTTTTGATTTTTGGCCAACTGTATCTAGAATTTCCAGTTTCAGTCCAGAATTTTAATTTCAGTGTATTTTTAGTAAAAATGTCTTTTTGAGAAAAAAATGTTCTTAATAATTTAAATGTTTCTTTTCTCCATTTAATACTAGTTAACAACATTTTTAAGTTTATAAACAATGCTGTCATAATTTGTTTAATATACTAATTGTTTATCGGCTGCAATATTGTGCTACAGCCATGTAGATATGGATGAATACATTTTCTGAAATGGCAGTATGGACGAAGATTGTTTTCATTATAAGAAACTGTCTAAATGAGAATTCACTAGTGTAAACAGTAGTTTTCAAGCCTCATCTTTTGGTTTCAAGTCCAGTGTTGGGCCTGTCCCTGAGGAACTGTAATAAGCTACTCTTGTTTTATGGGCAGCACTTGTTTTGTGTCACAGACCTTTTGTACACTGTAACACAGCTGCACCTGTGTGATTTGTGTCTTTGTGTTTTGTTGAAGCAGCTGGCAGTCCCTCAGCAGAGGCCTCCGCTATACAGAGACTAGAAGCCAGCATAAACAAAGCAGAGACCTTACCTGCACCCAGCACAGAAACCATGAGAGAGTGAGTTATTCACGTCTTTTCCTGCTCCATGTTTGAATGATCACCTGTGTTTCACGAAAAGCCGGTGTGTGCTCAGACCCAACCTGTTTGTTTTTTTGTAGAAGTATTCCTTCAAGCTCCTTACCGGTGACACAGAAAATGACTGAAATGAGTATTTCCAGAGAGGAAAAGGCCCTCTCACCTAAAGCAGAGACAGTCGAACCAGGTAATTGCAATAAAATATGATCAATTGTATTTGCATTTTGTTTTTTGGCCAAGTGCATGCAGAAGTTTCGGTTTAGCCCAGAATTTTCTGTGCATCCACATTAAAATTGGACTATTCCTTACATTTTTTCCCCCCCTTTGTTTATTATGAATACTCTTAAATGTTTGTTTTATTAAGTAGCTATATGTATAAAATTCTATTTTATAATTGATCTAGTTAGTAATCATTGAAGTCATATAGCATAACAAATTATTTCTGTACAAATTGAACAAATTACTTGTTCTGACATGTATTCATTAAAAAAAAGGCTCAAACTGATTGTAAACTTAGACTTAACTTGCTTAAGAGGTGACCAATATAACAATTCCTTTGTCTTATCATCATATCTGCAACCCTTCAGGTGTGCAAGTGTGTTTATTTACAAGACTATCTATCTTCAATGTGAAAGTCAAATGTGAGGCAGTGTGGTGTTTGTGGTCGATGGGCCTTCAGACAATAAGCTCCATTTGCTTTGTTCCTCTTTGTAACTAAATGGACTTTTCTGCTGATTGCTGAAGTGTTTCAATATGCCTTTGGAAGTATTTTAAGACCATCATTCTTTAGACAGATAACACTTCTATTGTCAGCCCAGACCCAAGAGCAAGCAGAGCCATCTTTGGCCCTGCTCCAGTTTCAATGTGAGCTGTTTACTGATGACAGTCTTGAATTTATGCAGTGTTAAGACATTTGGGGTTTGTGGCAGAGCTTATTTTAGGGATCAGCCCTTTTAAAATTGCGACCATAGTCATTTTCTTTTAAAGCCTAGAAATCGGCCTTAGACTGCTTCCAGAATGCACCCATGCCATATTGCAACGGTTCAATTTCAATCATTTTACTTCCCTTTCTTCCCACAGTTATAACACAGCCCACCTCCTCCTACTCCCCCATCCCCGTGGCTCAAGCCAATGATGATGCCAAGAGTCCAGATTCCTCCAAACCCAAGAAAAATAGATGCTTTACCTGCCGGAAGAGAGTCGGCCTAACAGGTGAGATCTTTTAAGAAGAGACTTTAAAGGAAATATTTTATATTGTGAATCCTTCAAAAATAATAGAATTTTTATCAAAAGTAAACCATTTTAGAATTTATCTTGTGTATTATTTAATGCTGTTGATGTCTTTTTATTGTTATATATATTTTAGGGCTGTCAAATGATTAAAAAAATTAACGTGATTAATCACACTTTTTTTTGTAAGTAATCATGATTAAAAACGAAACAAAATTAATCATGATTAATCACAAAAAGCCGTATTTATTACAGAAATAAAAACACAGCCATGTAAGTGACATTTCAATTTCAAAACAATCCATGCCAATAACAAAAATGCTTTCCATGTTGGATTCTTAGTGGACTACAAACACACACACACTCACTCACAGACAACCCACGCAGTGCCGGTGAGCTAGAGGGATCCCTTCAGATTCATCAACAAGCACGATCACGCTCATCAAATTTGCTTAAACTAAGCGTTCTAAAGTATGGCTGTATTTCACAAGCAAAGATTCTGACACACCAACGTGAAGCAGACGCTTTACAAAAGGGAGAAAACGCTTCACACTTAATGAAACATTTGAGGGCTCATGGGCTCAGCTTAGGAGGAAAAAAGGGCTAAGATAATCTAAGATAATACTGATAAACAGTCAACCATGTAAACAGTGATTTTTGATTACCTTAAAGGATCATGCGAATCCCGAAATGTTTTTTATTTCCGTTTTTGTTAATTCCATTAAAACATCCTGAATGAAAATATGCTGAATGAAAGTGAACTGCTGAACTGTAGTTAAAGTCTAAATATTAAAAAATGAAACACGAAATTATATGAAACTCTGTTGGAAATGCAGGTTAGCCTAGTGATGCCACATTAATTGCTTTATACTGAAACTTTTTCTGCTAAAAGCACTTCCTTGGTCTTATCCATATTTATTTGCACGTTAAACACACGCAGGGCCAGCGCAAGCTGAACTGGCACTCTAGGCAAACGGCAATCACGTCGTTTTATTCGTAGTGGATAATTTTGTGAGGACCAGGGGGTTCGCTCACTATTCTGCTGCCCAAGGTTGCCTCTATGGATGTGCCAGCCCTGAACACACGTCGGCCACAACTGGAAATAAAAAAAACTGTGTTATTTGCTTTTTTTAACGCGTTAAATATTTGAAATTAATCACGTGTGTTAACGAGCTAATTTTGACTGCCCTAATATTTTTTTCTGTAATTAAAGAAAACTTATATTTATGAAATGTAAATTTAGCTGATCAGGTTTGGCAATGAAATAGCCAGAAAAGCTGACATGGCAATAAATTCATAACTCTTGATTTATACCAATAAAAGGATGTCAAATTCTTCCCACAGAGATCAGACCCTTTTATATGTGGGGTAATTATTAAATAAGTGGCATTAGGAGTGGAATACATAACAAATAATAAATTGTATGAAATACATCCTGACATTTCAAACTGATTTTTAATACCTTTTAAGGCAAGATTTGATCGAGTGATTTTTATCACATCATAATGGACATGCAATGCTCACTTATGATTGTATTGCATAAAGGTGAAGACCTCACTCGGTGATTGTTCTGCAAAATATCTCTTACTGTAAAACAGTAATGTCTGCCGAAGGTTTTTTTTTTAATGAAGTAAACTCACTTGGAGATATAGAGCAAGATTTACCAGTAAAAGTTTTATAATTTTATAATAAGATGTGTTATAATAATAAATTAATGTTATAATGTCTTATCTAATTTATTTAGTTTATTTATTTGTTTTTATTTAATGAATTGTTTTAACCAAAAAAATAGCATTTATCGCTGACATGGCATTAAATAAAAATATATGCTCTATAAATTAAAGCTTAAGGTGTTTTGTTACAGTGCCTTTAGAAAAATCATCATAATACCATGTGAAAGTCTATACCTTTACTCGCATTACAGTCTGCTTTCAAAAGACCTTCGGGATAAAGTTGTAGAAAGGTACAGGATAGGAGACGGCTGTAAAAACCTTTCAAAGGCTGGAAAAGTTATTTGGAATGTGATTTAATTTCAGGCTGTATGACAGTAATTTTTCAACTGTGTATGATAATTTACTATAGGGACTGTATATACAAATAATGTAATCTTCATCATCCAAAATTAGAAGATATTTCAATTCCTTTAATTAAGTGGTTGTATCTTGCTAGCAGAACTGTGTTTAGAGAACAAATTAGAAAACAGCAATGATTGTAGCTCAATGACTGATTACAACAAACATTTCTGAAGGTTAATCCAGTCATAAATTAGCAGTAAATATGCAGGTCCTCACTCAAGATGCTGTATGGCTGGACAGATCCTTGCTCTGATCAGTTATAAACTGAAGAGCAATTACAGTTTCAGCTCTGAACTGGGTGCCTATTGAAATTATGTTCTTTCACTTGCCTTTCTGGCCGACTTGAATGTGTGACATTTTAAAGATGCAACATTTGAGAAATCACAGATTTGGGACAACTGACTTTTGTCACGGATGAAAGGGTCATCCATTTGACCTTCATCTAGAGAGTGCTGTCGGAAGGTTTCAGTCACTTGAGAATGGCTCGCTTTCTTCCAAAGTGTAAAGTTAAGCTGCCAATTACAGGGATAGTTCACCCAAAAATGAAAATGTACTCCCCCTCAAGTGGTTTCAACCCTTTGAGTTTCTTTATTCTATTGAACACAAAAGAAGTTTTTTAAAAGAAACCTTTTGTTAGAAACCTATAACCATTGACCTACGTAAGAGGAAAAACAAATACTATGGAAGTCAATGGTTACTGTTTGTTCCTCGTAACTGGCTTGCTTGTTTTGGGACTTGTGGAGCTGCGCATCAATAGATTTGCTCTTCAGTGTTTGGATTTTCAAAAGTGAATATTAAACCACACTCAACTGAACCAATTCTAAAAACTAAACTGACAATTTCAATTTACTAGAACTTCTATGTTAAGCTGTTTTGACACAATTTATTTGAAAAAGCACTATAGACATAAACATGAATTTTAAAAAAAATGTAATTGAATTACTGGTTTTCAGTATTTTTTTAAATATCTTCTTTTGTGCTCGACAGAATAAAGCAACCCAAACAAGTTTGTGACAAGTGGACAATGACAGAATTTTCATGTGTCGGCTGCAATATCCCTTTAAATAGGGTTTGTGGGATACATAAGGAAATTACCACCATATAAACATTTGACACTAACAACTAGGAGGTGTCTGAAAGTGTTTCTATTTTTGACCAATGTTCAATGTCAATTATCTCAATTTTTATACTGTACTTCAGAATATATGTAACTCAAAAAATATACCTAAAACTACTGTTAGGATGACTTTAACTAGGACTAAGCAGTGATTCTGAGTTTGTAATTGTAGATTGCTCTCTAATTTTGATCTCCGCTGTATGTCTGTAGCTATGTTTTCATCCAAAGTCGTGAATTAAATTTATGCGCATTCCCAACATTGGATCGCATGAAAGACATGAGAATAAAGCAGCATTTCCATCCATTGATTCAAAGAAAACAAATGGTCACTTTTTAATTAACTGACGCCAAAAGTAAAAACGGAATTTATCGAGGTAGGAGAAACTGCATGAATCTCTTACTTATTTAATAAACGACTTGCGCCTCAAAAGACAAATGCAGACACGCTATGAATGCATAGTGGCGTATAAAGGCATAACAAATGGAGCACACATACTCTTGACAGTTCTGGAGGTAATTATTAATAATATAACAACACTAATACTGAGATGGTTAAGGTGTTTTAAATGACCAAAACAACATTTGAGATGTTTTATATGTTCAGTCTGCTGGTTTGTCCATTCACACACATTTTTATCATCATATGATCTCTAGCTACGTTTTAATCCACCTATTTTATATAATAAAAAACGGTTAAAAAAACGGTTAATGAAATGCCAAGATGCGTATAAACTACGATGGAAACCATTTAAAAAGTCATGTGATTTTGTTATAAGAGATCATGTGATGATAAAAATGTGTGTGAATGGACAAACCAGCGTGCTGAGCACATTGTAAAACATCTGAAATGATGTTTTGGTCATTTTAAAACACCTTAACCATCTCAGTATTAGTGTTATTATTATATTAATTACCTTCAGAACTGTCAAGAGCATCTGTGCTCCACGTCTCATGCCCTTCACGCAGCTTCTCCTACCGTAGCAAATTCTGTTTTCACTCTTGATATTTGGTGCCAGTTAAACAGGGATTATCAATTTTGATCTTTTTGACCCATTGCATGGAAACGCTGCTTTATTTGAACATCTTTTATGCAATATTCCAGTTATGTGCATAAATTTAATTCACATCTTTGGATGGAAACATAGCTTCTTTTAACAAAATCACATACTGCATTTTGCTTGGTAAAAGTGTTTCCACTTTAGTGTCAAATAGAAAGTTTATCCTACTCAGTTATGCGCAGACACTTTTAATGCACAATTTTCAAAATTAATGCGCATCTTGCCGTTTCCATTAACAATTTTTATGAGAATCTTCGAAATGCGCATAAAAATAGGTGGATGAACACAGCTTGTGATCCGAGGCCTTATGCTTTCTCCTATTTTGCAGGTTTTGACTGTCGATGTGGTAATCTGTTCTGTGGAATTCATCGGTACTCAGACAAGCACAACTGCACATACGATTACAAGGCGGAAGCCGCCGCCAAGATCCGCAAGGAAAATCCTGTAGTGGTGGCCGATAAAATCCAGAGAATATAAGCTTTTACCCTTTTCTCCAAGAACACTGGTGGATTAAATGGACTTGAAAAACGGACTCGTGTTTTTCGATCACCTTAAGAAGAAAATGAGAGAACTGTACCGTCTGAGGCTCATGCATGAACGAAATAGCAGATTATTTTTGTTTGTTTTCTATTAGGTATTAATTTCTTTCGGATTTGTTTTCTCTTCTCGCCGTGGTGTTTTATGCTAGTTATTCTCGCATATTCTTTTGTTTCCTAAAGCATAGGACACCTTTCAGGAATTTTTAGCTGTTATTATTGTTATTGTTTTTTTGCCTGTTCTCGCCCTCGTGCAATGGGAGTGGCAGATACTCTGTGCCAAACCGTGGCCGTGTAGTTTCTGAGTCTTCAGCCTTGTTATGAATGATGGCAGGTTTGTCAGGAGGTGCGTCAGAGCTCTCGCTGACGATGTGCGCTGCATGTGCTGGTCTGTTAAACTGCAGTTCTACAGGAATGTAGGGCCGCCCAGTCGTCAATGCCGTTCATTTAGCATTAACTTTAGAATGTGAACTTGCTACTGTGACATCATACCTTTTGAATGAACGTATGAGACTCATCGGAAGTCCTTTTTTTAATTACTATGTTGTTGTTATCAATTCGCATTCTAGATTCAACAACATCCATTTTGTCTGCGTTTTAGTATCAGAGGTCTGGGAGTTTTATTTTTGTTCCTTTTGTGTGAATGTCATGTAGACTTTTTAAAATAAGGCTGTGAGGTGGTACAGTCCTTTTCTGTGTGAGTGTATTTGTGCGTACGGGGGGGATTTTTTGCGCACAGGCCCTTCTTCCTGTTGTCAAAGTGAGATGAGCTAACCCTCCTCATTAGGTGCATTTACAACACCGCAATAGTATACGCATTGATTCAGACCCGAGTCTGTGAAACGTTGGTTCTTTTCGTCTCTTTTGAAATGCACCCACAATGCACCTGTCATTTTGTGTGTGTGTGTGTGTGTCTGACTGCATATGTTAACGTAAGCGAGTCTGAGTGCATGTATTGTGTATATAAACGTCTTCTGTAGGGAGTGAGGTTTTCTTAAAAGCAAATGTATCTGTTGAGAGTATGTTTGAGGTTTGTTTTCAGCCTTTAGTTATATGCAAATTTGTATGGAAAACACCTTGCTATGTTCATATTTATGTATTGCATTTAATCCTTTTACCTGGCATTAAAGAAAAAAGTATTGTAAATAAAAATATACAGAGAGAGAAAATGTGGCATCCTGTTCTGCTGCTTGTATTATTGTTTAGAGGGAAATTTTCAACACGGTGCATATAGTTAAATTTAGGTGAGTGATTGACAGATGCCCAAAGCTTTTCTTTTTATAGACAGAGTTGAAAATAGAATAGAGATTTAGTAATAGAAGGTCAAGGTCCCAGTTGTTCTAGCGCATTATACAGAGCATGTTTTTTTTTTTAAAGGGCACCTATTTTAAGAATTTAGGATTTTTGTGTCTCCAGAATGTGTCTGTAAAGTTTCAGCTTAAAACACCCATCACATTATTTATTATACCTTTCAGAAGTTTGTCATTTTCTGCTCTGAACATCTTGTAGCTGTTTTTGTTGCCTTTGCCTTTAATGCTGGCTTTCTCCACCCACTGTTCCCACTTGGCTGTCGGAGTGTTTCCTCTTTCACACTAGCAGCGACTTCGTAGCAGAATGTTGCTCTGGTGGCGACCTGCTGCAAACGCAGGTCTGTGAAAGTCTATACTGCACTAATACAACTGGCATCTAAATCATTTGAGCTCTACTGGTGCTCCAATTGGCAGTCGCTCAAGAAAATCGCTCTTCATTTGCATAAAGTTGAAGGATTCTCACTTTTGTACATTTACTCAACACGCCCACCCGGTCGCTCACGTAGATGGAGGTCGCAGGAAACTGCTTACTCTCCATTGAAATGAATGGTCGCTTGTTGATTTGCAGCTGCGAGTTGGTCGTAGTGTGAATGAGGCTTGTGCCTCAATCTCCGCCTAGGCTGCATCAGCTAAACAGCACAGTGATGGACATGAAGGAAGCAGATCTTGCATAAGATTTGTGAGAAATACTACATTAAGAACTTTCCCAATGATTATTTGATGTATTTGTTGTGGAGTTAATTCAAGCCTTTCTGCAATGATGAGTCACACACAATGCCGTTACAAAGTTCACGCTCAGACAGACACACTGCACGCAAGTTTACCTTTGCACTGATTTTGCACAGCAAATGTTACAGGACACACAATAATATCCACTGCTGTATGGATATCCATTATGTCAATGTACAAAAAAACCTGATTTAACCTCCACAAACCGGGATTGAACAGTCTTCTTTTATAGTTGTACTGACATGTGGCTGTGGTGATAAAGACGGAAAATCGCTGTAATTCATTACAAACCTGTTCTAAACTTGTAAAACTCTTTCTTGGTCACATTTGATGATGATTGATGATAACAGCGAGTTAAACAGAACTTTTAATCCCAGTTGTTTTGCGCAAGTCCTGTCTTTTTAATATGATTATACACGTTACTACAGAGACATGTTAATACATGGGGCGGGGAAACCGCACTCCTACCTCCCGTTGTGGTGGGCCTCAAAACGGGAGGGATTTGCATCCTATTTTACAATAAGAATTTAAAAAAAATAGACTTATTGTCTTTATATCACCCCAATATGACTGTGGACACACTATACCTACACACAGTTCTGTCCAAAAGATTTTCATCATAGGTGCCCTTTAAGTATATCGAAAATATAATAAAGAGCATTATTAGTGTTAACTTTTAAAAAAATATGCGTTTTTAGCTGTTTCCTAAAAACTTCTAGCAACTTAGCTGCCAACAATTCAGAGCCACGTGTTTTGTTTCGTTTTTTTAAACCAGAAGGCCCAAACTCTAGATTCCTTTGACAGCTCAATGGCTTTCAGAAGTTATTTGTTTTGCACACCTGTCCCGGCTGCTAACGCAAAGACATCCTGTTTTGGCAGCAGCTGTCCTGACAACCTTTAGCACTTCTGTACTCGCAAACAAAGCAGATTTGACAATCCCCACCTGACCGAGGAACAGCTGGAGAGGTGTGTGTCACCCCTCTGAGGAGCGACAACAGGTGGTGAGGACCCTCAGTGTCAAGCAGAACATTCACATACATTTTTTTTTAAGGAACATCAGTTTGTGTGTGGTTGTGCAGTTGTTTTGTGTTGTAGTCAGACTCTGACTAGTCTCTCAGTTAGTGTTTTGAGAGGGGTGAGCGTTAATCTGCCCTGATGACATCACAGTGACGGCTTTTGACAGATGTTGACTACACAACAGTGTGTAGACAGCACAAAGGCCGAGGGTACAGAGGTATTCTGAGGGCACACTGAGGCTTAGAACAGGACAGTATGCTATTCTTTTTATTTTAAACTAACTGTAGGTCAGATTTGGACAAGCCCAACCATTAGAATAAAACTCTCTATTACATGTTTAACCTAAGTGTTGGATTTTCTATGTTTGACCCAAAGTTGGGTTAAAACAAAACAGGATTTTTTTGTTGCCATAAACAGGACCTTTTGCATCTGTCCTATTAGTTTTATGCTGCGGTTACACTAGAGTGAGCATGCGGAATTCTGTTGTACGGCGCTGCAAAAAGGGGCGGGATTAAACAAGAGGATTACACATTAAAATAGCAAACGATTGGTACATGTTTACATTTCTGTCCAGAGGGGTCATGTTTTGAACTTCGATTGGTCTCATGCAATCAAGTGATGCAATTTCACAGGTAAGAGTTCATATGCATATGAATGGAAGTCTAAAAGTGCAGTATGACCACAGCTTAGACAGGCTACTTATAGTGAGTTTATATTAATCTGATTGGCTTACTAATGATTGCGGATGGGAGACCAGCCGCAATCAATTATATCACATACTCTGAGTCCTCTCGAAATTAGTTTGTGAAACTTTACCTAAACTACAGAGCTGTGGTCCTATGAACTGAGTTTAAGGCTAATGCTTTACAGGTATCAAATGTTTATCATTTTAAAAGGTACCACCTCTGTGATAGCTTTTTTACCTTTAAAGACCCTTTTCACGTTTCCAGGTTTCTCAGTAGCGGAAGTCGTCATTGTTGGGTTAACTTGGAGCGCATTGAATGGGATAGCACTGAAAAATGGTTCCTTGAGTTTACTACATTTTTTTAAAGTGGTTGTAAACAATTTATTTAGGATGAATTTAAACAAACAAATTAGGTTGAACATTACTAAATTTAATTTGTTTAACCATTTTGCAGATTTTTTTTTTTTTTTTTGTGAACAATTTTTTTTACAATCCTATTTGTTGAAATAATGAAAGATAAACTCCACCATTGTGTTATCAAGACTTTGAGAAAATGGAAAAAAAAAATAGTGTGAGCCTGATAACGGCAGCCAGAATAAAGTCAAATGTACTGTCCTGCCCCATAAACACTGCATTTCAAAAGTTTTAAATAATATAAAGATGATTTAATATATACAGTTGATTTTATTTTTTTAATATTTCCCAAATGATGTTTAACAGAGCAGGGAAATTTACACAGTATGTCTGATAATATTTTTTTCTTCTGGAGAAAGTCTTATTTGTTTTATTTTGGCTAGAATAAAAACAGTTTTTAATTATTTAAAAAACATTTTAAGGACAACATTATTACCCCCTTTAAGCTATATATTTTTCCATAATCTACAGAACAAACTATCATTATACAATAACTTGCCTAATTACCCTAACCTGCCCAGTTAGCCCAATTAACCTCGTTAAGCCTTTAAATGTCACTTTAGAGGTGTTTTGAAAAATATGTAGTGAAATATGATTTACTGTCATCATGGCAAAGATAAAATAAATCAGTTACAGTATTAGAAATGAGTTATTAAAACTTATGTTTAGAAATGTGTTGAAACAATCTGCTTTCCGTTTAACAGAAATTGGGGAAAAAATAAACAGGGGGGCTAATAATTCTGACTTCAACTGTATAAATACATAAAAATGTTCATACATTTTAAAAAAAAAGCTTTCAAGTATTTGAGATGGTGATCATCATTAAACAAGTCATAACAGTGTTGTTAAAAGAGTCAATTTCTGAGAATGTAAATAAGGATTTGCATCTTGATGCCTTCTCATCTCACAATATGTCCCTTCGTAGGCTACATTTTCCAGTTTTCAGAAACACCCCTTGAGTATTGTATTTAGAGCAGAAGTATATGTGACCTGTGGCTGAAATAACAGCAGGACATAAGAATTGTTCAGTGGGGGAGTAGACAGGTTCTTTCACAGAGTTCGATGTGTTCTTTACGTTAATCCTTGTGTGAGTCAGAGACTGAAAATTGACTGCTCAGTCATGGGTTCAGCTTGGGAGATGAGGGCGATGCTCGAAACCACAAAAGAAAGTGCAAGAGTTTCGTATGAAAGCAATTATGGAACTTGGGCTGGAAGGAATGAAACGGGAATGGCATTATAATCATACAAGGATGTAAATTTTAGGCAGTCTTGAGCGGGAGGATAAAAGAATTAAAAGAGGGAAGAAAAGTTAGATTTCAATACATTAACCATTTTCAGTTTGTCTGGATTTGAAATGTATATTTTGAGTAAAGTGTATATTTTTTTATATGTTTTACATGAGCATATTATGGTAAACGTAATAAATGCTTTCAGATATTTTCATATTAATTGATATTAAAATTAATTAAGAGGAGGCTTAATTTAATTGGAAAATAATTCTCACAAACAATAAAGTGAAAATTAGGCTTAAAATAGTAGGAAGTAAACATATTGTATAATGATTAATCAAGAAAAAAAGTTAATTAAAATTTAATTGTTGGTGAAATGTAATGGCTGGTGTGCACTTTTAACATGTTTACTGTAGGATCGGGATGATAATCGTTTTCAAGATTTACCGTGGTTTGGAAAAATCAAGAATTTAAAACTGACATAACTTTATGTTATAATGTTTTTACAGTATGTACACTTTTTTTATTTACGTGTTTTTTACAATTATTTTATTACATTTTTTAGGGCAACATAATCTCTAGCTGAAAAGAAACCACTACAATATATTTTAAATGCTTCTTAATATAAATATATAGTGTGTTCAATAATTAAAAATGTTGTTGTCTTTTACCCAGACATTAAAAAACAACATATTTTTAAAGCAGTGATCACAACACGGTGATACTTTGAAACCGTCATATTTTTATCTGAGGTTATCATACCATCAGAATCTTATACCGACCCATGCCT